GGAAGAGATATAGAGGATCAGGACGGGTTGACAGACAGGGGGGCTGTCACGACCGCCGGCCAGCAGAGATCAACCCACAAAAGAGCTAACCAGTGCCAGCAGGGGGTTAATCATAACAAGCGCCGCCACACGTGTTAATTCATCAGCACATGCTCTACCGTGCGGCACACAGCGCTATTTAAGCAATCTAGACTTGCTCCTTGCTTCTCAGTATTAATTCCTCTCCTAGGGAGCTCCTACCTCGCCTTTGTTTGAACCCCTCTTGCGATACTTCTCCCAGCTACTGAACTTCCTTTTGCCTTTCGACCACAATTTCGCCTGACGTTTTGGATTGTTTGCCTGTTTCACTATCTTCCCTCTTCTTCGTCTGCATAGGATCCTCATACCTCATCCTTGGGATTCATTACAGGGGTGTGACTATGGTGATCCGGTGCTTGGGGGGCGTGGCGATGGCAGGCAGTCCAAAGGGAAACCAGAGCACAGTCCAAATTCCAAAACCGGAACAAACACAGTTAGGAACGGGATCTGGAACAGGGAATAAACAGGGAATAAAATGTAGGTGTCACTTAACTTATTAGTGGCGACTAGTGATAGGAGAGGTCAGACCCGATACGGTGCTGTGAAGGTAGATGTCGGGAATCCAAAAAGGCGAGAGAGAGTGATGAGAGGTCGGGTTGTCAGCCAGGGTCAGGTACAGGTGTCCGGTCGATAGGTATCCAAATCCGTGGTCCGTGAGAGAGAGCGACGAAGGTAGCCAGGGGCGAAGCAGGGTTGGTAATCAATAGTCAAGCCAGTAGGTGTCCAAATCAGAAATCCGTGAGAGAGAGAGAGGTGAAGCCATTGCCGAAGAGTATCAGGGTCGAAATCCAGAAGTCAGTAGAAGAAAACGCGCACAAGAGAAGGTTTAAGGCAATCTCAACAGTGAGCGAGGAGTGAACGGAGGAAGCGGGGAGTGAAGTGCTAATTGCTAATAGCGGCACAGGTGTGTGCGCCGGGAGGGGCACGCGGGAGTAAGATTCGTGACAGTAGGGACAGAGGCCAGGCGCTCCGAGCCCCGGACTCAGACGGTCAGGACGCCGTGATGAAGCCTGTGCCGTCGGGTCTCTCCTGGACCCGCTGGTAGGCGGGCTTCTGGGCATCCATCTCCCAGTGCTGAGCCAGGAATAGCAAGAGCACCAGGCTGAAATAGTAGGACAAAGCAAGAGGCAGGTGCTCATAATCAACTAAAATACAAAAGGGTCGGAGTGTCCTTTAAGAGGAGGGATGCTGTTCGTGACAGAACATGTATGTACTGTAAATCTGCAATGGAGGCAAAACTTAACATTCCTCAGGAAACAGTGGGCAAATCAGGTACTTGGAAATATGGTAACTATTTTGGCAACACATAAACGGAGATGACTATAAGGATAATACACTCCATTTTCTGTGCTCATGATGCCTGGTTCCCAGAAAGTCTTCCAGTTTCTAAGAATAATGAAATGGATTGACCTTATGTTTCATTGACTTTTCTGTAACTACCCTATGGGAACATCAGCTATGTAAATACAAACCCTCAGAAACTCCTGGAAAAAGGACCTGCACTGTGTATGTATGTATGGATGCTTGTGCAGTATGTTTGATTAATATCTGATTAATTAAAATGTGTGATCCTTGAGACCTACAGTAGATAGTGTGTCAAAAATGAATGACTGCTAATCCTACAGAATCATGATGCAGATAAAAAATGGTTAAGAAGGTATAAGGGGAAATAGCATAAACATTTTATTCAAACGTCTCTCAATGGTATTAACAGCATGCTTTCTTCTTTGCCTTCAAAGCACTTTTATCATTAGCACACACTCCTCTATAGGAAGACCACCAATGGAGAAGACAGGCAGCTACATGTATCAGGCCCTAAAGACAATGATTAATCACAGCAAGACACTGCTCTTTCCCCATCTCTTATAATAGGTCTGAATAATTATAATAGGCTTGAGTAATTGCTTTGTTGCTGTTGTTTTTACATCTTATCCAAGGTGGATCCTCTGCTGTTACCATTTTGCTGTACCTTAAATATCATAAAGGACATTTTGCAAGTTAATATTTTGCAGCATTAAGTTGCTTTTAGCACATACTGTCTGTCATAACAGGCAAATACTAAGTACAGTGATGTGCTGCTAAAGCAGAGTCTAATGTGTTTTTTGATGTGAAATACACTGAAAGGCTTTTTCGCTTTGGTAATTGGTGAAAAGCAATGAACTTTTCATGCACACATGACTCACCTATGATAATATCGAAATAGCTCTCCGGAATAAAGAAAACTTCCACACCAAAGAGCAGGAAAATATTTCTAAACACTTACAGTATGTAACAGTTCTAATGATATTTTCTTTTCCATTATCATTATTCCTCACTTTTGTCAGCTCTGGTGTTCAATTGTTTCTTTAGAAGAAGAAAAGTCTGTTGGCTTAGATCAAGCATCGAAGAATTCAAACAAAAGAGAACATTTTCAAGGACTATTTCAAGCATTAAAAAAATGTTTTCATTCTCATTGAAAAGACCTTAACACGAATATCACTAAGGGCTCTAAAGAAACTCTATGATTGTACGCCAAGATTGGTGTGATAAAAATGACCAGATGATTAAATGTTTAAAGTTGATTAATAATACAATATTAACATATATATGGCGCATTAGCTCAAACAAATGTGCATTTATGGTTATATATTTAGATATAAATATAAAGTAATGTTTTTGAACTCTGTATTTCCTGTTGGATCTTGCATTTAGTAATTTACATGGTTCTCAACTGTGCAGGAAGACAGTATTCACTGAAACCATGACTCCTCTCACCAGTAACTGCAATCCTGTCATCCTATCAACTACTATAGATCAGTGGTTCACAGTCCTGGTTCTGGAGGAACTCTTTTCTGCTGGTGCTCATTCCAGCTGAACTCTACATTTCCAGTGCTAATGTCACAAGATGTTGGCCGTTGAAGCAGTAACAGGTTGTGATGAATCGCGTTGTGTTGATGGCCAGGATTGTGTCAATGTGACAGTGGAGCAGGGAACAATTAGTAACAATGGTCATACCCAAGTCATCCAGGAAGCAATTAGGTACTGACGCATGGAGGTGTGAGGCTGAGCCAGTTCGTCAGACCTTGGGCAGGGGAGTGGAGCAGGAAAGCACACAAAGAAATGAGAAGTGCCCATGACACCTAGGACTTCCCGTTCTCAAACGACCTGAGCTTCCTCCTGATAATGTTCTGGGTGCACCCCCACCGACAGAGACAATAGGAAAACCACTTGGGGGGATGGCTTATGGGAGGGATAAAAAGATCTGAGCCTCAACAGAGGAGTCTCTTCTCCAGGGTAGCCCCTCGACACGAGACAGGCAGTGCAAGGAAACCCGCAACCTGCGAGTCCACAGAGGAGATTCTCCCTGGAGTTGCAGATCATGGGAGAAGGATGCAGAGGAACGGAGGTACTGCACAGAGACATCTAATACTTGGAGGAAAGAAGCAAAGAAACCGGCCTGGTGAGTCGATACTGACCCAAGGGGAGAGTAGTGCACTCTAAAGGAGGACTCCCGATATAGTCCAAACGGAGACCGGGGAAATTGGACTGTGCGGCATCACTTTTCTATACATTGCTGTCCTTCTCTGTAACACCAAGACTTTCCAACGCCCTCTCCTCATCACCTGCAAGGACAGCTGACCCCCAGGAATTCATTAGGACTCTTGAAAGAACCTGTCCTTGCTGATAGTTAATGTTACTGTACATAATTTATTAAAAAGGGTACTTATACGATACTAATGCTTATCGCTGGTCTGTGTGTGCATTGGTGATTCTGGGAGATAATCAGAACGTGTGGTAATGTAGAGGGTTTTTTGGAGAAATCATTGAGAAGCTGTTATTTGACTTCATGACACCCATGATTAACTTATTCAACTTTCACAGACGGGTCTTATATTTAATATACTGTATAAACATAAGTTCTCACCACATACATACTATATAAACTATAAATACTATATAACAAAGGTATTAAGTACAAAACAAAAAGTCTTGCAGGTAACCCTAACTCTGTCAGTATAGACCTGACATCTACAGTTACTTTGTTCTTGAATGGTGTGAAAATAAAAGATAAAAATGCAATTTTAATAACCACATAAGGAATTTGTTTAAACTCTGCTTCATTTCTATCTGTATATCCTTCTAGAATTTAATATTTGTAAATACTAACTGAAAATTATTTTGGACAACTCCTGACAGATACTGCCTTACAAAAAACATTTACAACTGTTCATAGGCTTTAAAATGTTAAACTAAGACTTTCTAGATTCAGACTTTTCAACAAGATGATTTGTGTATTTTAAGCCTGGGGAAAAAAAAACTCGGACACATGTTACTTGTTTTGGACAGACTTGCAGAACTTTAATAATACGCATTAAAAAGGCAGACTTAAAAAGTTTCATATAAACTTTACGCTTTGAGCCATGTAATATGGAAGAATAGTTATAATTTGACATAATATTCACAAATAAAAAAATTGGATGAAAATGTTTCATTTGTTGAGTTCTATTTTTTAATTCTCTCTAGCAGTATACTGTTTTGTGATTTTTTTTATTGTTCACTTAGCTTTTCGGATACTTTTTATTCCTTAGATGTATCATTTGATGTACAATATTAAAAAGGCAGTTGAAGCATGAGCCTCTTCCGCTTGCATTGCGTTTGCTTCAGCACTTTCAGGTTGCAGTGAGACTTTGCTATGCATTCTGGGCGATGTAGTCTTTTTTTTTGCTACTCAACTTGTCTAAGTAATTTAAAGAACTCAGTAATAGCCAAATAAATAAGCATGCCTCCTGTTGAATTTGAATCATATGCCTGAATGTACCGGTCATGATGTTGTGAGAGTGGTCACAGACAAGCGCAGGGAGAGCCGGTGTGAATTATTCTTTAGTCAAACGCATGCACTCCATTACCCACAAACCAAGATGTTCTGCCGTGTTCCGGGTTGTTGTTGTCGTGAAGTTTCATTTTTTTTTCGATAGCTGCTGTTCATACACGTTGGCAAAGCAGAAATCGGTTTCGGGAATTGTAACTTCGGTAAATTATTGTTACCGAGAAAATAAGTGTTGGCAACAAACGTTGTCTGAAAGGAGTCTAAGGGATCAAAATGAGGCGAGCGGGTTTGGGTAAGAGGAGCTGTATCCACTCTTGTTTCTGAAAATGGTTTACTGAATTGTACCATGAACTCGAAATAAAATTTAAGGGGACTCGTTGGTTATTAAAATTTATAAACGATATATTGATTATTTCTAAAGTAAATAGAGGATTTTATTATACAGGGTGAAAAGGTTTGTCCATTACTAAATGTATTAATTAATTTAAGACGCAGTCTGAACAATAATTCCTGAAATCCCCGTAGTTTGAACTCTTCATACCCTGCGCCCTAAACGAGTGAAATGTCTCGAAATCCGAGCTGTTATTTCCCATGAATGGGAGACGGTTCAATCAATTTTACAAGTATATCACAGTCTTAGGATGTTTTTTTTTTATCATTTCTCACTAGGGAAACAGCTCATTAAATACAGTCGAGATTGAAAGTTGATTTAAAACGTATTCGTTGATTTAAAACAAGAATCTCGATGTACATCAGTTTTTTTTTCTGTAGAACCTGGTTTTATACTCTATATGACTAGACTGTTTAGACAAATTGTTTTCAAGTTCTAATACCTGTCATTTTGCTTGATAATTCATTCATCAATTACATGGGTACTATGGTTAGTTGCAATATTTTAAAGTGAAGTTAGACAAGTGAAGTTAGTGCAAAAGTTGGACCTTCTTAGTTTAACACTTCATCGAGCAAACGTCATTGTTGATAAGATCGGATATACATTGTATATACAAGAACAGTTAAATGTTATTGAATCAGGGCTGGGGTGATCCCAAGAATGTTATTTTTTTATAACATTTATTTTTTTTTAGAAATTTAGAATCACCAGTTTTACGTGTTAGTCCCACCCAGTTTAGAACAGCAAAGTTACGGTTTTTCACAAGTTGTTTCATAACTCCTCCTTCCAGTCAGTCATTTCTTGACACATCACAGACAACCCCACTCTGTGCCACAGGTTCAGTGCTGGTTGGTGGAGAGGCCCATCCTTCACCCTCAGCACTGCAAGCTTGCAAACACTCCAGAAGACTACAGGGGGCGCTGTGTCACTGACTACACCCACTCTACCCTCGCCCATTTCCAGTGCCGCTGACTGGGGAAATTTGTGTCACAGTCAGCTGCTGACATGGCCCATGCTTGAACCCATGATCACAGAGCTCTACCTGCAAGGAACTTGACCATTTCAGCCTTTTGGATTAAAGGATTTGCAAGCCTGTTTCATTTAATATCACTTTATTGGCCATATACAATTTCTTGCATTAGGAATGATCTTTTCGCATGCCACAGCTTGCTCTCCATGAGACACACAGACAGGGAGAGAGAAGCTGGGGGTCAGAGCGCAGGGTCTGCCATTGTATGGCACCCCTGGAGCAGTTGGGGTTAAGGGTCTTGCTCAGGGGCCCAACAGAGTAGGATTCCTCTGCCGGCTGCGGGATTTGAACTGGCAACCTTCCAACCGCAGGCACAGATCCTGAGCCACAGAGACACTGCTCCGCCCACTCATTTAAAGAGTAGTCTGGGGCTCATCATCCCTGGTCAAAGATAAGGAAGGATTGGTGATGGTGACCTGTCAGATTTTACTGGGCACACCCTTAGTTGGCTTTCTAAGCCACATGGTTTAATCATTTTCTTTTTTAACCTGTTTGCAAGTCTGTGAAGATCAATTTATTTTGCCAAAAAAAGAGTGTAGTTTTTAAGTATTGTATTAATCATATACTGCAGACATGTTTTCCTTGTCGCCGTCCTTTCATTTATGTAAAATAATGGGAATTTCCCTTTATGGCCACAGTAATTGTAATTAAACAGTTAGTGAAAGCAAGTACTTCGAAATGGAGATGTAGGGAACAATACAGCCGACATGATTGTATAAACCTGTACTGTATATCTAATGTTTTGTTGAAAATTCAAAGTTTAATTGTATTGCTCACAACATTGTAATGAACCAGTCATGATATTTTTATTTTATCTTTGGATGTTATCACCTTCTTTTAACAGGTGATGGAGCACCCACAGGAAATTATGTAGCAAGTGGATACAGTGTTCATGAAGAAGAAAATGAAAATTTATCCGAAGGTTTAAGAGCTAAAGTCAGTGCTTTAAAACATGTAAGTACAGTTCACTGACCTTCCAGTTTTGGAAAGTGGAGGTGTCCTTGTTTATTTTGGGGGGCTGCAATGATGGATCAATTCTGACCTTCAAAGGTTCAGAACACATTGCTGAATAAAGCTTTTGATAGTTGTATTTCATATGATTTACTAATGATGTCAAATTGTGTAAGTTTATCTTTTGGAAAATCCTTGTTTTATATGTAATCCATACAAATGTAACATCCCTGTGCATTTTAAAGAGAACAGTTCAATGCTATAAAAAAGGGTTCTGTTTCTGTACATATATTTGAAAAATATACTTGTTTTGTATACAACTATATATATTTTTTCACCTAAAAGCACAGAAATTGTGTAATTCATTTGTCGTAAGTATGTGTCCATTAGGTTTTTATGTACTGACAACTACTACTGATAAAACAGGGCTGCTTTGTTGTAATGCAGTTGTTGGAGTCTGTTTTGTATTCGACATTATATAGTTTTTTGGCATCCTTACTTTTGAAGTGATTTACAGTGGCCATAAGCTAAACAAGCCCCTTTTCTATAACAGAAGCCACTATTTCACTATTTAAAGTTTATACCACTCTTTCATACAAACAATTGTATTCGAAGGCCACAAACAATTATTATTATCATCATCTTCAGGAGCCCAATTCTGAGTCAGTTTTACCAAGAAAATGTCTCCGTTTTTCTTTGTCTGTTAGCTATCCTAGCAAAATAGGTGCTGCACTGTGTAATTTTTGAAACAGCACCCTTGATTCAGCAGGCTGAGTGAATAAGGGTTTCAGAGATTTGTGTGGCGTGTTAGAGTCAAAAAACATTATGTCGGAAATGGGAGCCATAGCCTTTCTGCATTGTGACCAATTTAGTGTTATAACAGGGACCATTCTGTAATAACTCTTTGATTCTCAATATTTTCCCAAATCTAAAGACTTTGTGACGCACTGCCTCCATCATCACACAGATAGATGTCACTGGCCTGAGTATACTGTATTATCATCAGCGGTGGGACCAAACCTTATTTCAGTGTGTAATCAGGGTTGTGCCTCGAAGTGCACAGACGCCCTCACCTGCAAGGCACCGATGACAGTGGAGCCCGGAGCGCTTCCTCTGCGTCTCTCGGAAGTTTTCTGCCTTTGTTGACGTCAAAGTTGAAAAACAGAACTCTCGCCGCATGAAACTCCCAAGGCCAGAGCCCCCGTCTCGCTTGTTGCTTGTCAGAAGTACATGTCCATCCGTCGTTTTCCTAACCGCTTAATCAAGTTCAGGGTTGCTGGGGAGCCGGGATCTAACCTGGAAAGCAAAGGGCACAAGGCAGGGTACACCCTGGATGGGACGCTAGTCCATCCAGGCAAAACTAAAATGTATATGTATTCTTTTTTTTTTTACATGCGACTTTTCCAAAATTCCACAGCACGCCCGTTGCGGTCTGAAGGCACCCTGGTTGAAAAACAGTGTAGTAACTTCTGCCACTCAACTTGATCAAGAGACTCCTAGAGATTGGCTGAGCCTTCATGTTATAGTATACCAATTTTAGCTTACAGCTTCCATTCAGTATTTTGGGGGAATTCTGCGTATTTAGACATTGGGGTAAAAAAAAAAAACATTTTCAGTGATAGTTAATTTTGTATTTCACACTTATGCTACCAGAACAGATCTCTTAAAAAGTCTTGGCATACAACACTAGAAAAGTAATTTATAATGTACTCCTACATTTTATGGGCATGTTGTGCTCCAAGGATTGCTGACACTGACAAATGAGGAGCTTCATATAACGATTAGGAGCAATGTTTTATGCAGTAGATTTTTGTAGGCAAATCAAAAGTGGGAGTATTTAATGTGGGTGACATCTGAACTATTAAGAAGAGAAATACACATTCTTGTTACCTTTGCAGTACATTAAACCTTGGATTTTTGGTTGTTGGTTTTTGGGATTATTGAACAGATAACTACAGCAATAATATGTATCTGTCCAGCAACATCTAAGGCCATAGAAAACTCATCTAGATGACAACCCTAATGTTACAGGAATGCCATCAGACAGGCCTCCAAAGGCTTGCTTACCTTCACCGGCAAACCTGTGTTTTATTCTTATTGTATTATGTAATAATTGTATTATTATATTGAAATATTTGTTTTTTCTCCCTTGTGCTACGTGTTGGTGCTTTACAAAAAGATGTCCTGCTGTTCAGTATGCATGTCTGACTTTCTGATTGAGTCTTTTCTTTTACAGCTGTCTATTGATATTGGAACAGAAGTGAAATACCAAAACAAGATGTTGTCAGATATGGTAAGTGTTATGAATTTATGTGTCAGAAAAGCTTTCAGACTTTTGTGAAGAGGTATGAACGCTGTTTTATGACTGTAGATACACATATCATATTTTAAAGCATTCACTGATGCTTTTAGGCCAATATATACCTGTGGTCAATACAACTTGACTATAAAACATAAATGACAGTTTTGACTTTGTCCCAACATGTTTGGGGGGCACTGTATGTACAGTATGTGACAATGATGGTTGTAGTAGCGGGGTGACATTAACTATATATGTAATACATGGTGAATACAGAATGGAATTTAGTATTTAATTGTTAAAGAAACCATTCTTTGATCCCAATTGTGGTCTAGGTCAAAGCCTGAAGGAGATAATGATAACACTAAATTAACTTTGACAGTCTACAGCTGTTTGTGTTCATCACTGGGCTTTCCCATGCAGTTTATTTCTTATTCCTGCGCATTGCATTTTAAAAACTCACATGGGACCATCATTAATTTAATGAAAACATAAATCACAATTTAAAATGTGCACAGAAGAGACAGAAGTGGCTTAACTATTAAACCACTGGCTGCATTATATATATATATGTTTGGGGAAGTAAGCAGTCTAAAACAATATTAATAATAATAATAATAAACTTTATTTTATATAGCGCCTTTAAAGGTGGCTTCTCAAAGCGCTTTACAGGATGACAATAATTTGCATGCCCAGTATATGTGTAGTAGCTTAAATTAAATACCAGATCTGGCCTAAACACTGTCAGTAGAATTAATTAAATAGTGATATATGCAACACCTCAAAGTAAAGATCAAAAGGATTTTATGTAATTACTCAAATACCTGACTTGCGTTTATCTTCTGCACTGAATTTCTTGTTCCAGCCTTATATATGTTATTAAGAAGAACATTTTTTTTCTAAAATTGTTAATCCATTATTTCATCAGGTGATACTCTTTGAACTGATTAAATAGATGGTGCAACAATTTGAAGAAATGCTACTGATATTTTAGGATACAGCTGTCTGTTACGCTTGATGGCTGCTGTCAGGTATGAAAAATATACAAACGTGAAAAAAATACACTGATCCCTAAATCATCGGGAGTATTTTTGTTGTTGTTGATTACAGAATTATGTGCATCTCGTATGATTCTGTGATGGTGAATGAATTGCTGTCTTCTTGGTCACATCATTCCTTGTGAAACGGATTAACAGTTGACTTGCAGGTCATCAGTGCCTTCCTAACGAAATACCCCAGCAGTGAGCTTGTTACATCGCCCCTCTCCTTTGTTTCGACTCCTGTCCAGGACTCAGACTTCGAATCCACGGGTGGTCTGCTAGGAGCAACCATGGGCAGACTGAAGCTGCTGTCGCGGGGGAGCCAGACCAGGCTGTTCTGCTACCTGCTGCTGTTCGCCCTCTTCGTCTTCTTCGTCCTGTACTGGGTCATCAGGCTGCGGTGACGAAGCAGCTCGTGCCACTGCTCCGGACGACAGTCTTGCAGAGGATGGGAGAGAAACTTCGCGATGGAAATGAGCCCTCTGCTCGATACCTTTCCCCCCTCATTTCAGCCAAGATCTTTTAGATCTTGACAAGGAAGCCGGAAGCCCTGAATGGTTTGGACGAATGACTAAGTACAGCATTAAGTGATTATTACAGATGTGGATCAAGGATATTTTACTGTATGTTAGTGATTATTTTCTGGACTGTGATATCAAAACAGTGTTTTCATGTATGAAACTAAAACATGTAACATTTGTACACAATGTAATAGTTGACTTCTGTCAGTATGTGAGTTTTTTTTTTATGAGGTCAAGGTCTTATCAAGCCTTGTGTTACATACCCATTTATATAAAACCTGTAAACACATTCTCAACACCGAGGAGCCTAATAAAAGAGCCTAAATAAGATTTAAAATGATATTACTGTGCCTAAAGACACAGATGATCTATTTCACCAACTTCTAAAATAGTTCTGTTATTCTGTATTCAATAATAAATGATTTAGGAAATGTAAATAATAAGTATAGTTTCTATTTATATGTATGGCATTCTAGAAATAAAAAAATGAATTCCTGTTGTTTTGCAGTGCATAAAATAATTTGTGGGGAGGTACATAAAGTATTATTTTGCAAATAGGAATGTTGATTTGCAATAGGCGTTTCAAAGGGATATGTTGACTTTCTATTTCCCAGGTAATTAAATTATCTGAATAGTTTGAAAATTGTAAATGAATAATAAACAAAACCTTTGGGTTTAGAAGTTTATTGTATTAATATAAATGCAAGATAAGTGGACAAATTAAGGCACAGTTTAAACAATATTTTTCTAACTAATCTTTCTAACGAATCCCATTCCTTTCTTGATATTAAATATGAGTAAACATTACTGTCCGCTTATCAATGCATCTTAATTTTATTCCGTACATTTCTGCATTCATTATACAAAAGTACATTTTTTCTCAAAGGAGATCATTGGAGGTACTGTTAATGAAGGTAGTTCCTGCTGACCGAACTCATTTCTTGTTTGGAAGGGTGTCCATGTACTTGCATATAATGGACAGCATGACCTCATCTGCTCCGGCTCCTATAGACATCAGTCTGGCGTCTCTGCATGAAGCAGACAAATTCAATTATAACAGCAACTTTTTACTTACACAATTCTGCCAGTCAAGTCTGAAATGTACATTTGCTCCTTAAAACCTGAGAGGCTAAAAATGTACTCTGAATTTGTAGTTCTGAACAAAACTTAATACAACAGAGAATTCTAAAATTGTGGCTTTACAATGTTTGTCGTTCCATAATATGCCACACCACTAGGCGTCAGCAGTGTGCAACAAGGATGAAATCAAATTCATAAATTCGAACTGCAATGTTATCATTTCTGATCTTCTCATTTACAGAACGCTGTTCTATTCTTCCTCGCTTTGCCTGCTCTTTCCTGCAGTCCGAAGCCACTTCAAAGGAGCAGGTAACTATAGCTGTAGGAGTTCTCTATCTGAAATAATCAAATCTACTCCACATCATTTACATCTTCACAAAAAGGACAGAAGCACTGCAGAGCACAAATCACGGTGGCACAAAACTCATTTTTCAACTTTCTGCTGCACTGAATGAAAAATTGGACTGTATGTATACAAATAATACACTTCCATATTTCTTGAAACTCGGCAGAAATGTAATGAACAGACTCTTGTCTACAAAAATGCTTTATGAAAAATGTCATTTTCTCTCGGTACATCAATAACTGTTATCGCAAGCATGTGATTTCCCCAGAAAGTGTATTCCACCCGTTCTCTGAAATGGGAGCCTGGGTAGAGTATTTTTTTATAGGAAATACATTTCTTATATAATCATATAGGTTAGAAGATTGTGTTTTAGGGACAATTCAGCATACAATCTTAAAAAAAGATGACTTTAAAAGTGAAATAAAATACACATAATATGAACAAAGGAAAACTCAAACTTGTGCCACTGTCATTCCTGAGCAGTCTGGAATGTGATCAGTGCTGTATCATGAAGACATAATGCATTTCCATCACCCATATCCCATTCTTGATATTTCATTTCAAAATCCTGTAACCTATGTAATCATATTTAATATTCCATGCATTAGGTTAGGGATTCCCAATCCCGATCCTGCAGGTCCTCACATCTGTATTTTTTTCATTCCAGCTCAGCTTAATTACTAATTGAAGTCTATAATTTAAGCTAGTTAAGTTTTTTTTTCTACACAGACATTTGGCGTTTTATTTTATGAATAGTGTAAAAGGTGACCTTTAACATGCTTAAAAGCAGAAAGCAACCAAACAGCTGAATCAAAACCTATTAAGTTAATTAAGGGTTCAATTGCATAATTAAGAGCTATTCTGGAACAAAAACCAGCAGGTGTGGAGGTGTACACCTCCACAATCAAACTAATAACGAAGGATTATTGTATATGATCTGAATTGTTCCTCGAAACCTGCTTGGAATGTGAAATGATGGAAATTAATTTAAAAAATGTTCCTATAAACAACAAAACCTCACCTTAATACAGCACAGAATGGTTCCTAGGTATGACAACAATACAATTCCTGGTTAATCATTCAAGTAATGTGCTTAAAGTCATTAGCTGAAGCATGAACTATAGCTAGGAAAACAATAACACTCCTCTCTTTATTACAGTGCAGTCCTGACATCATTGCAGTCGTAAGCAAATGCATAAACATTAGGTCCTATCCTGTACTCTATGCACTTAACACACACAAGCCAATACTAGATAAAAGTGAAAATCTGCTTGTTAAATAAAAAAACATGTAGGAAGTACTACAATTAAAACTCCTATAGAGAGAGATTACTCTAATTTAAAGGAATATTACTGCAAACAGAAAAAGAGTATTTTGTAGACTATTATTAAGCCTGGATCAACTAACAGTGAACGATGAGTAAAAAGGCACTGGTAGCAGGGCTCCTCTGTGGTCTCACATATTCATGCAAGGGTCCTCCTAAAAGACTGCAAATAGACTACTGCTCACTGCTCAAATAGTGCAGTTTTCTGGAATAGCTGTTCCTGCAACAGTGGAGGCATGGTAACAGTAAATGTATAGTAATGTGTTGCTTTTATAGGGCTGGGAGTACACTTTGCATATGCATGACAATGTTCCACAATACCTGTGTACCACTGTGTATCTTGCACACCTGTTCCCAATTCAGGAGCCCTGCCAAAATCTTTCTCCACACCAAAACATTCCCTATATAATTGATAAAAAGGATTTGACTTAAGGATTTATTGAATGAGTTTCCTAAAGATGTCACTGCATTTTTCTGCCTCTTTGTCCATCATGTGCAACACTGTAAGGAGCAGAACAGAATCTGAATGAACTGCTGCTGAGTAAGAACATATGAATGCGTCATATTTTCGACAATATATGAAGTAGGGATTGTGCTTTGATCACATTCTTCAAACAGGAATTGTTTTTTTTCCCTCTTCTTTGCACAGGATGACCCCTGATGAATCAAAGTGCAGTGCAGTGAACCAGGAATCTCCTGCTAACACAGCCCCTGGACCACCTCAGTAAAATAGTACTGACCTTAACAAAGGAAATGAGTAAAAACTAATCACTGCACATGCCAATACTAATACTGATTTCTGCACTTTTAAGTTAGTTTTCTGGTGTTGTGCAGAGTAGCATGAGTTTACTCATGCTCAGCAGTTAACAAACATGAGATTACAGCAGTGGTGTGCCAAATACAGTAGATTAACAGGATGCTGAAGCCCTCTGACAACCCCAATTGCAGCCACAATTATTTGTTTAGAAAGAAATACACATTAAACACAAAGACAATAAACTTGTGTTTAATATACTTGGAATAAGTGGCTCAAATGGCTTTCTCTCATCTGTCTGTCCATCCATTTTCTAACTGCTTTATCTAGTATACTACAGGGCCATTGGAGGACTGGAGCCTATCCAGCTCCTCTTATCTGTAACCTTTTTGAAGAACATTTACTTAATGAAGCCTGGGCAACAATATGTTGTGGAAATGCTTTGATGGTAGAAATAGGGGAGTTACAAGCACTTGACACTTCTCCAGTGAGGTTGCTATCCGCGAGCTATGTTTGTTCTTTTTTTAAGCTTGCTATTAAAGGGAAAGGGAATGTTCTGTGTAGACTGGACAACATACTGACAACAGAAACAAAGATCAGCACCAGAGAAGCTCTGTCCTAACACGGGACTGCCCTTTTCTACAGCTGGCTGACGATGCCTTCATCCACTGCACAAACATAAAGGAGATCCTCTTCAAATCTGTTCTGAGCAGAGCAAGCAGCTGGCAAACCTCTCTCCTGTGAAGCAATGTCAAATTCCAACGGGCCTCTGAGCAATAAAATAAAACAAATGGCTTCAGCTAATGTAGGGGCAAAAAGACCTTTTCAAAATGCTCTGCGCACCCTGGTCTGTTTCACTGGCAACTTCCCAGTCCTCAGTTGTGCAAGATTGTTAAGGACAGAAAGGCAGAAGAATTGTGAGATGTCAGCAATGAGGAGATTAACTCTAATTGCAATCCGAGTGTCGGCTGCACAGCCACGTTTAGATGAGCCGAGATATCAGAGAAATGCCAAAACCTGCACCCATTCCGCAACATCAACATCATCCTATTCACCTCCTCTGCTGGCAAAAGCCCCACTTCTGACCCCTCCACCTCCTGTTGTCAACATATTTCTTCTCTGGCATATTCCCGATGCTTCATCTTGAGCAACAGCTGCAAAATCCACCCATTTCTTACCAACTATTCTAGACATCTAGAGCAGGTCCTATTATAAGTGCAAGAGGAGGAATTATGATGTAATCTTCAAATATTAGGCATCAGCATACTGTAGGAGCCATGATTATTTATTTATCAGAAACGAAATTTCCTAATTTTACTTACACAATTAAAGCATAATGAACATTAAAAATTAATATACAACTACATCAAAAGGCATTTGATTGAACAAGTGCTACAATATCCACATGATGTACTCTTCACAAAGTGGTAGCTTATTTCGCAAAACCTACAATTCTTTATTAGCTCACTCTCAAAACATAGCAATAGACCGACACTGACACTGACACTGGACCATAACAGATCCCTGTGGTACACCAGTGCTTGTATATCTGCCCAATTAAATGTTGTGCTTCTTAACATGACATGTTGTTTTCAGATTGCTAACCAGCTCTTGATTCACATACATCCATTATCTTGGAACTATGGCTTGGCTTTAAATCTGAAAATCAACCTTTTATATGACATCACAACATATGCTTTAGTTTTATGTACTATCCTTCTTGCTTTTTGGAGTACTCTAGAAAGTTCAACAAGACCTTAATTTTTTTAGTCCACATTGGCTATCGTCTAAAATCTCACTGTTTTATACATATTCTTGCCATTTAGTTCTAATTTTCATTTTCAAATCTTTACCTACAGCGAAAGTTAGTGATATAGTTTCCTGATGCAGTTCTGTGCTCCCCTTACTAAATTTGTGCTTGATCTTTAATGTTCCAGTCTGTGGATTAAGATATGGAATTAAAATATCCTTGCTAGGGGGTCTATGAATAGCACTCTTCATTTCCAGGAGTATGAAACAGCATCAGGAATTGGTGGTGTATTGGCTTCTAGCCATTCCAGCCCCAGATGAAGCTCCTTCTGTAACACGGAGCTTTTTATTGACATTCTCTAATCTACAAACCTGTTGAAAAATCAATTTAAGATCTTTGCCTTATTTTGTTGTTCTCCATCAATATCAATATAACTGATTCCTAATAGGTTGTAAGGTATTTAACAGTTTATTTACTGTTACAGTAAAAGAAGAAATGTTTTGCATCACTTTTTTATCTCAAATGAAATATGCTTTTCTCCCTCTTGGCAATTCTAATGTCTGTAATATATTTTCAACGCCTGAAGCTCTTTTACAGTCTCTGAAATTTCAGGCCCTTCTGCACAGTCTGTAAAGTGCTCCCTTCTGTTCAATTTTTTCTCAATATCTCCATTAAACTATTTGGGTCATACCTCCCTAGACATTTACTTTATTATTTTAAGGATACATTTGTTTTGGGCCTTTAGCATGATGTTTTTGAAGTATGACCATCCTTCAGTTGATTCTGTATCCATCTGCTCACACTTCGCTGCCTAATTCCTCCAAAGCCTGCTTTTCCAAACTTATGAGTCATCTTTTTTTAATGTTTTAGAGATTGAAAGTAAGTATACATCAAAAGATACTCTATTATGGCTGCTAATTCCCAGAGGTCATAATTCTACTTTCATCATCAATCTGCTGTGTTTCATCATATCCTTCATCATTTATCAAAGAATCAGAAACTAATCAACATACCAACACACACAAATGAAGGGAGGCTATTTTGCCCATCTAGACTGTTAAGTAGTTAGAAGCTAACCAATCCTAGCATCTCATCGAGTTGTTTCTTGAAAGAAGTCAGGGAATTGGCTTCTACAACATAACCGATTAGCTTCTTCTTTACTCCCACAAACCACTGGATAAAGAAATGCCTCCCGTTCTCAATATTAAACACACTACCATAGTTTCCTCTTGTGACCTCTGGTTATTGTTTCACTGTTCATTCTGAAGATGCCCTTCGGAGGGCTGGTTTGTCAGTGCCCTTGGCTGTTTTGAAAAGTTGTATCAAATTCCCACATATGGTTATCATTTCAAAACTAAAAAGGTTAAGTTCCTTCAGCCTGTGAGTGTAGGACATTCCCTTAAGTCCCAGAATGTATCTCGCCGCTCTTCTCTGGAGTGATTACAGAGCAGGAATATCTTTGCTATAATGTAAAAATGAAAACTGTATGCCATATTCTAAAAGAGGCCTTACTAGTGCATCATACAATTGTAAAATAACCTTCCTGATTTAAATTTTACTCTTCGCTGTTTGCCTTTTTAATCTACCCCACATTATCTAGGAGAGTCTGAATTCAGCTCTCCATCAGCTTTTACTTTTGTCTTCTTTCATGCCTTGATTTAATTCTCTTTCACTATAAAGTTAAGAAGACATCAAATCAGTAGTGTTTTCAATGCTGTGGGAGTCAGATTAATCCATCATAGTCTGCCCAGCACTACATTATAGCACCATCTGTAAAGTTCTACCTAATAACATACCTGTAAAATCTGCTGACCAAAACATCATTGGTGTATCCCATTCCCCCCCAGAACTGCAGGCAACTGTCGCTCAGAGTACGAGCCAAACGACCTCCTTTGAGTTTTGCCATAGATGCCAGTTTGGTGACATCATTGCCCTTCACATAAAGATCTGGAAGAGTAAGAACAGAGACAAAGTAAGAAATAATTTGCCACCATTTAGTTAATCCAAGGCAAAAACCATTACCAGTAAATCAGGTACCACGCTCTAAGAACAAAAATGCACACTACACAGAAAGTCTTTTTTTTTTTTTGAGAATCACAAAATTATTAATGTGTCAAAGTGAGCCATTTCAGGATGACATCATTTTGCTGTTGGTCATCAGTTTCTACGATGAAATAAGCCAACAAAATCCAAGAACAGGTGTTTGCAGTTTCCCAAGGAAATGCTCAGGGTAACAGCTGGAAACCGGACAGCCAGCCTTGAATGAGCTTCTTGGAAACAGCCATGTGGTCTGCACTATCCCCACCTGTCGCACGGTAGAGCAGAGAGCGCAGCAGCTCCACCTCCGTCTGCAGCTCCGCCAAGCGGAAATGGACTGTCTGGTGGTGCAGGACGGGCTGGCCGAAAATCTTGCGCTGCTTGGTGTATTCGATGGTTTCCTGAATGACATTCTGCATTGAAGTCAAAACTCAAAAGAAAACACACACACACGAGAAAACGGGTGAAAAATTTTAGTCCAGCAAAATGCATACCCTGAACAATTTGTCAGAATTTGCTATACTAAATTTGTGTGCTGAAGACCAGGCTATTGCTGACTTAATACAGAGATGTAGAATGTACAGTACATTATATTGTAAAATGTTGCGTTTCTTTTTTCCATCAGTATATATCAGGCTGTTCAAATAAATAAGACAATTCCTTATCAGCCATGACTCCACAGGCGATGAGTGTTCTCTGACAAAATTATTATTTCTTAGATAAAGGAAAGCATACACATTTGTTGCATATTAATGGAAATATTACTAGTTTCACATGGCTTATGTGACTAAGCATTAACTGGAAAACAACACATGGTGTTGTTCTGTAGAAATGCCTACTCTGAATGCCCCTGCAGTTATTTATTTTGAGCAAAAAAATAGATCTCAGTCAGTCAGCAGACAGATTTCTGTATATTGTGAAAAATACTATAACTTAATGGTTCCATGTCTTGTATCCTGTCCACAGAAATGACAGCATTCCAGACCCCCTGATTCATCAATGATGACCACAAGGGAATCTTAAACGAGTCAAATACACGGGAAGAGTAGCTATTCACTTGACTAAATTACTACTCAGAGCTCTTCACTCCCACGGCTGGATCGACGTTGACGTAGCTTACTGTTGGCCACTCCCCACATTCGCTCCTCCTGGAACTGGAGCATCTGATATGTGAACCCCATCCCTTCCTCCCCAATGAGGTACTTGCAAGGAACGCAGACATCCTCAAAAAAGACCTCAGCTGTGTCTGACGACTTCATTCCAATTTTCTCGATTTTTCTAGCTATGTGAACCCCTTTGTGGGAAACAAAAGAATGCATGAGTAAAATGTGAAACGCCTACAACCCTCCTGATTTTTTCCTTCAGGAAAACTGTGCACTCCATAATAAATGAATAACATTGGCATCTTGCCTAGAGGGGAAATCTGGCCCTTTTACAGTTCTGCCTTTCATTATGAAATGTTTCCTAACATGGCTTTAAATGTACATTAAAGCTTGGAAAATTAGGTGCCTTAGAAAGGAGCCTTACTGGATTTTTTCATGAAACATAAAATCTAAAATGAGAAGTTTTTCTGAATCATTAAAAATACGTGTTATGATAAAATCATGCATAACAGAACTAAATAAACAGACAAATCAGTGCTTTACGGCGGTAAGACGATGCATTCCTTCTCACCAGGCAATTTCATTGGCAGACAGATCAGGGACTTGTTTCTGTGGGGTGGCCCATCACTGGTGTTTGCCAGAAGACACATCCAGTCAGCTTGTGTCCCATTTGTAGTCCACATCTTGCTGCCATTTATTATATAGTCATCACCCTTCCTCACAGCTTTAGTCTTGATGCCTGAACAGATTTGAAATGCATCTTCATGCTCATTGTGCATTTGTAAAGACACAAAGCCAGTTCAAAACTGAGTCATGCATACAGTCCAGACTTTTCTAAGTGTTTCACACTCCTTTAGGTTCTTTATTTAAAAACATGTTATGTTTTTTCATCAATTTATTTGGCCATTCCTTTTATCCAAAGCAAGCTGCAGACTTTATAACTAGTTATAATATTCTGCACGTAAACACAGTTTGTTAGATAGAACAAATGTCCTCCTATTGTTTGAAACCTTTCACATGATGCCCAGCACATCTTCCCATGCAACACAATGCTTTATCTTCAAACTGCCAGGCATCTGTAATGCAAATACTGAACCAAAACACTCTAGATGCTCTTATGACTCATTATATATCCCAGGAAATATTTCCAGATAACATGCGCTTAATGAACTTGATGCACAAAAAAGGCAACATCACCGATGTAGAAATAGGAGAATAAAAAGCTCTTGTTATGAGCCACTCAGGCTTGCAGCATATTGAAACTAAATGATCTGAAAATTATTCATCAAAACTTACTTGCAACATCCGAGCCAGCACCGGCTTCACTCACACCAAGGCAAACCACTTTATCTCCCATTATAGTTGGCGTGAGAAACTCCTTTTTCAGCTCCGCAGAGCCAAATCTTAAAGGTAAAATATTCCATAAGAGAGATTGCCATTTATTGCAAGAACCTGTTTGTTGTCAAACAGCATTTGAACCAGGTAAAATTCAGCCACAACTTTGATTCAATACACAGCTGCAAAATGCTTAAACCTTTGAATTCAACCATTCACTCAAGACTGGATTCCGGTACGTTGTCTTGCAGGAATAATAGATAAAAGCATCTTTGACTTGTCACATTGCCTATACCTTGCCAGTGCTGGTGTTGCCATGTCAGACTGAACTCCTATAGCCATGGGGATCCCTCCACAACGAATATTTCCCAGCTCCTCAGCCACCGCAACGCTGTAGCTGAAGTCCAGGCCCAGTCCTCCATACTCTGTGCGTGAAAAAAGAGTTTTACTGGAAAAAAACGTTTAAAAATATTTAAAAAATACACTTCTGCAGCATTCTTTACTAGAATAAAAAATACAGCCTAGATACCATATTGCACTCTTTCCCATGCTTAACTGCTCAATTGGTCACAAATGTTCCGTTTCATATAACATCAGTTCAGCACGGATGGAATTTAATATGAACATAGGGACCAAGCTTTCTTTACACATTTGTTTTTTTTTTGTTTTTTTTTTCCATCCCTTCAGCCCATCTTTAGGAATTTCAAAAGTGTCCATTCCAAACTGGCCAATTTAGAAACTTGCCTCGGTCAAAGTTATTTACAGTATTTTTCTCATGTTCAAAAACTGAGCTTGCGATTCTATTCTATTACTTTACTTAAGAAAGATCCTTGAGGTGCTTTACATCAAAAAACACTCTTAATACACAAGTTCCACCTTCAGATGTTAAAGAAGTAAGATTTGTTGTCTGCAGATGTCTCGGACATCTCTTCACAGAGAAATGATTACAACATGTGTCACAATGAAAATGAAGCAGAGGATCCAATAAACTTTTGCTCTAACTTTAAGCATCTTAAATATCTCTCTTCATTCACAGAAATTGCTCAATAATTAAAACTGGGGAAAAAAAAACAATACGCTCTTTATTCAAGCACATCTATTTAAATAGCACAGTAAATGCACTCTAAGAGTACTTAAAATGGGAAACGTATGGTTAGACCACTAAAGCAATACAGTGGTTCAGATTTAAGGATAATTTCTAGCCTGAAGAAACAAGAGCAACGAGTCTCAATTGTTAATTATGTTTTATTAAAGCAAGCTAAAGTTATTAAATCATTAAGCTAATGGATGCTTTCATAATAGGTCAAAAAGGACAAATTCCGCAATGATAATGTTATTTTAACATATTTGAAAAGGTATTGCCTTTTTATAAAAAAAGCACATTTTATATCATTTTCCCCATTTATTACTGAATCCGTTATTTCATTCATGAAAGGACACACTAAAATATCACAAAGAAATTGGCTCAGGGATAATTGGCTCTCTTCAGAAAGCCTGGAAGGTGGACTTCAATATACGAGATGCGTCAGAAGAAAATTATCACTTTATTTATGCATGGATGTTCCCGGAAAAATAAAAGCATATGGATTTTGCATAGCGAGTAAATGTTTTTGGCATCATTTTGACTAAGTGATACTTAATGACTGCAATCAGCTTGAGAGACTTTGACTGTTGCATAAGCACTAAGTCACCTAATTAATGAGAGCATTGATTGGGCTCAGGTTATGAGTTACGATTTAACTTGTTGAATATCAAGCCTGATTAAAATCAATACAGCAAAACAGAGAAAGGAACCATTGTCCCCAGATTATCCAGAGAACAAGACGTCTGTGCCATCAGTACAGAGGCCGGGCATACAAGACTTTGCAGTCAAACACGATCTGTGAATGATGAGCTGCGATCTGGGTGACGATGAGTTACAACGCCTAGACTGATACAGCATGTTGCTCCAGCTCCGTGATTGCTTCCACACTGCCAGTTCCACTGCACTGAGAAATTCCATGTCGTGACAAGCTGTGCCCAGCTATGTGGCCCTACAGTGATGAAGTCTCTCTACCCTTTCTGTGGGCTCACGCTGACGTGACAGCAGGACCAGCAGGCCAACCCACATCCTCGTGCTGCTCATGTCACAATGGCTTTCTTCTGTGATCAGAATGTGACTGGATGCACTTGCCCCACTTGACAGACTTGAGTCTCTTGGAATATTTTTGGGATAAACTAGGCTGACATGGTATAAGGGACTCAGAGACCAGTAAATTATCCATGCTTATTCTGCTTATTATTAAGAGGTATGGGACAGAATGCAACCTGATACAAAGCATGCATCACAGATGTACAGACTGCACTCATTGCAATAGAAGTCACACACACACACAACTACAGTAGCCTGTAACTTTCACAAGAGAGTCCTTCTTGATTAAAACTGTCTATGGGATTTTTTAAATAAACAAAATTACAGTAATTGACTCATGTCATGTTTGTTAAATAAGAGGTCAGTGAGAAGCTGTTAAAAAACTATGTTCATTTCATGATAATAATTGCATGAATTTGTTTACTGCATGGAAGTAGCAAGCTTCTTTTGATGCTTAATATACATTTAGGTCTTTATAACATAACACAACTCTTTCCTATACCTCTTTCCTATATATTTGACAGCTCTATTGCTAAAACCTCCATATGTAATTCCCAGCATTTTATAAAACATATTCAGAGCTGTGTTAAGAACTTCATTTAATGACCGCAAAAGTCAATTAAAGGAATAAGCATACAAGCAAAGAATTCATTTTTTAAATAGTGGCCTTACCAGTACAGTTATAATTATTTATTTATTTACATTATTATCTTTTTTATTTCATTAAGTTCAATAAATTTCTTGAGTACGACATCATAAAAAGCTCTGCAGCACAATGGTGACACACACACACGCACAAGATGACATCGTGAAAGAGAGCGCATCGTGAAAGAGAGCAATCGTACCTTACGCGCAGTGCAAACAAGGGTCAAAATGATATGCCATGCTACTTTTACCTTTTAGGAAAAAAAAAGTCTAGAACTATAAATTGGTCATAAGATATGGTCAGATAGGTTCATTAAAGCAAACAAGACAATCTGAGGTCAAAGATGACATCAGTGCTACATGGAAACAAGTAGCTGCAGAGATAAACCAGAAGGAACAGAAATGGAACATTCCAACAGTGAGCACAAAGGCAGGTCACGCTGTAACTGAGAGGAAACACAGGGTGATGGTCAGGCCTTAAGAAAACATCTGCACAAACACAAAGGGAAACAAGTGCAGGGAAAGATCAACATCTGCTTCAGAGATGGCCAACCCTGGTCCTAAAGAGCCGCCATCCAGCACTTTAATAGGTCAGCCCTAGTCATCAATCCATAAAGACCTGGAACAACTGCATATTTATGATCAATAATTTAACAGCTGGATTATTTATATCCTTATTGTTTAGCTCAGGTCCTGGAAGGAAAGGATCCTATCTTGGCAAGCAGTGGGTGCAAGGTGGGACATCTCGGAAGGCCACCCCATCGCAGGGCAGACAGACACAAACACACATACACGCACACCAGGACCAGTTTTCTCAGAACCTATTTCGCCTACCAGGATGTTTTTGGGTCCGTCATAAATCTGAAGTAAAATACAGAAAAGGGAGAGTGCTTTTCTTCTCCTGTCAGCATCTTGTCTGTTCTACCCACAACACAGTGTACATGTACTATAAGTGTACAAACCCCCACCGACTTTTCAAATACAAAAGTTTAAACCTTAGATGACAGTTATCGCTGGCTTGATGACCTCAATAGTGCATCAACTTTGTGATCGGGGTATTACAACTACAAAGAAGCACTTAAGACTTTCTCTCTTTTTTTTGGTGCAAAGGCATAAGTAATACAGTTTTAAGCTGCTTTTTTAAAAGCCTCCATAGAAAATCTCATTTTCAGAAAATACAGTGCTAATATCATATACATAATTTATAACCCTCTTTAAAATCTAATCATTTTGTGTTGAAATTAATTCTTCATAATGTAATCATTAACGGTTTATGGAAATGTAATGCATTTGATACAGATGATTATAAGTAATCAAGGTAAATTGGAAGGAAAACTGTTCTAAAAAAACTCACATTCGCAAACTTTAAGATACTGTAATTATGAGTGATGGCATTCCACAAATACAAGAGAACATAGTTCTCTCATAAATTACTTCCTGTTTCTTTTCTATCATAGTAGGTTCCTAGCTTCGTTTCAACTGTTAATACAATGATACTGTATCTTAGAAAATGATAAAACCTGAAATGAAATATGAAATTATGCTTGAGCATATGAAAGACACAGTTCTGGACAACTGTAGGTCACAATGAAAGTTCAGGACGAAGACAAAAGACCATTTTTGACCAATCCAAGCTCACAGGAGTATATGAGTATGGACCCTCCATGTGATTCTCTCCTGGCAATGCTCACTCTCTCCACTGCCACCCTTTCCCAACATTCAACACCCTGAAGTCCATCACCATCCTCTGCACCACCACAGCTGCCGTCCTCAGAACCACAACACTCTCTCTGCGTTCATTCATCACGCCCAGCTCCATCACCTTCACCCTCTTCTGACACTCATCACAACTAACCTCAAACTACCTCCTTCACACAGCCAGGTTATAAGCACACCTTATCCAAGGATAGAAAGAATAACTCCTTTATCACAATTGCGCTGTTGGGGTTTGACTGTATCTTCAGAAGTATTTCATCACATTCTTTATCTACAGTTGGGTAAAACGTCATCTTTCTTCCGAGTCTGTGTGTAGCACTATAGAACCGTCAAGTTTCAGTGGATTATAGACCATATGATGTTGCTTCCATCCCTCTTCCAACCACTTCATCCAAGACAGGGTAATGGGGCTGCCACAGGCCATCTTTGCAGGTAATGAACGCAAGGCAGGATACACCCTGGACAGGACACCAGTCCATGTCAGGGCACACACTGACACAAATGCACACACTCACACCAGGGCGAACTTTACAGAAGCCAATTCACCTCCCAGTACATCTTTTGACCCAGTACGTAACCTACCAGTGTGTCCAGGGCCCGGCAGCAATGCTAACCAAAATGCCACCTTATGCTCTTACATAGTATCGTTTTAGAAAATATTTTAATATTCATCAGCTCCCTTTTGGAAAATGAATCAATGCTACGATCGTCGAATCACAAATTGAATCCCTGCTGTGACTTGCTTTTTGAGCTAAATGAATATCATATTAAAAAACAAGCAATTCAGTGTTAACAAATAATAAACTACTGCTTGTTCGCTACAACAATATACAAGTGTACAGACACTCCACTGAGCAAGCAGAAGTAAAGAGGCAGCTCAAATGTAATTTAATACCCTTAATTGCTACCAGAGAAATCCACTTAATTACTGCAAAAATAATGTGATTCATCAGAAAAAAAAAATAAAGTGGGGAAAATGCTTAGTTTCACAATGCAGTACAAAAAAATGTTCTTCATTTAAAATTTAAATGAATTAATATGTTCACTCAGCGGTGTAATTACTTTTAAATCAGCTGCATTATTTTCAGGTGATACAATACAATGATAATTTATTTAATTCTGTTCTTTCAAAGATGAACACTGGTTTTAATATAGCTTGGTTAGCTATTGATTACTTTGAAGTTTGTTAAAACAATCTCAAGGGAAATAAAATGTATTTGCGTTCTGGCTATATATTTTAATTATATTTTTTTAATCTTTTTTGTGCATTCTAACAAGAGCTTGGTCATCTCACAAAACATGTGCTGAAAACATAGAATTGCCCTAGAGGGGAAATCCTTAGAAATAAGTTTTTTTTTATTAAGGCTATATATGCTTTAAAGTTGAACCAGTGTCATCACTTTAGTGTTTCTATGTTAAATGGGTACAAATATCAGTTGTTTGATCTTGTATTTGTTTCGAGTCTTCTAACAAATTTGCATGACCAGCAAGGAATTGGAGTAGGTTAACGCTGCACTGGAAAAGTCAAACAACAACAAGCAGAGATCCACTGTGATTTATCAGATCAGATCACTTTATTAGCCATATACAACTTCTTGCATTAGGAATTTGTCTTTTCGCAGACCCCATCTTGCTCTCCATGAGACACAAAGACGGGGAGAGAGAAGCTGGGGGTCAGAGTGCAGGTTCAGCCATTTATATGGCGCCCCTGGAGCAGTTGGGGTTAAGGGCCTCACTCAGGGTCCAGCGGAGTAGGATTCCTCTGCCGGCCACGGGATTTGAACCGGCAACCTTCCAGCTGCAGGTGCAAATCCTTAGCTACAGTGTCACCCTCCGCCCATTATCTGATTCCCATTGTCTCTTCAGATAACACAATTTATGTTTGGACTACTTTAGGCTTTTCAGCTTGAGCTCTGTTAAATGAGTGAACACAAATTCGGTGAATGGTCAAAAACTCCTTTTTTTCCATTAAGTCTTAACAGACAGCATAAACTCCATTAACACTGTATCACAATCCTTTGTGATTATACTGAGCAGACTCATACATTGTTGGCAAAATACAGCGCTTTGAATTGCCAGAGGAGTGTAAGGTAAATAAACAAGTTGGTATTTGGTTGACTAATAAGTCAATTTTCATGTCAAACCTTCCAAAGCGATATTCACCACCCTTAAAGGTCATTTCTGAAAAACGCTGAAATTTGGGTTGACAGAGGAAATTCTTACACAGCCAAACACAATGACAAATGAAGGAAGACAATTGCTTGCCAGCAGGGGTGAGAAATAACATGAACTGCATTGAACAAAGAGAGGTTCCAGTTAATAAAACGTGATGTTCCAAAAATATGATGTTAAGAAGAAAAAGAACCAAAAGGGTCAGTAAAGAACCTGAGAACTGCTTATGCTTGTATTGTCAATTTAATTAATCTTAATTTGAATAATGTTAATTTAGCTTTTTAGTTATTGTCTTCAAGGCTGTGAAATGGTGCTCCCTGCACACTGCTGCTTTCTCCCCAACTTCAAGAATAGACTCATTAAATAGTAATGAAATAGTAATTAGTTCAATTGTAATTAAATAGTAATGAATACAAGGCCACTATCGCCCTTGACCTGTACGTATTTTATTGTATAAATGAAACAAAGGCTTCTAGGAATAAAACTAACAAAAGCAGGGTTGGTTAAAACACATTCAGTTCAAACATCACTCAGTTCAAGTCCATCCATCTAAGATGTCAATGTATGTTGTCTGCATAATCATGTCCTAACACCAACACAAATGTTGTTCATTTTATTCTACTGCAATGGTATCATACACATCAAAAATTGAAAGTTAGTACCATGAAGTATTAAAATAACTAAGCATAGTACTGTTTTAAAAAAAAAACAACCGATGTCTTAGAAATAGGCACATTTGTGGAGAAAGGCATGCATTCTGTAGTGGATGGATACTTTTCCAGTTAAGTCCTGACTGCATCCAGCTCACGTTTTAAGAAGCTATAGAAATGATTAAGAACCAATGTTTCAAGCACACCAGCCTGCTCACAAACATACTACAGCAGAAATATTGAACCAGTCAGCGAAAAGGTTCCCCATGTTGGAAATGAATGACTCTTAAAAAACAACCGCATTGCGAAAAGTAATTTACTCTGACAATGCTGTTAAGGGCAGTTGTGAATGACGGGATTAACTATGGTTATTTTAGTAAATTTACACCTTCAGCAGCCCTGTCTGTCCCTTGGTATTATCCTGTGATCTGATAATACTCTTCTCACATAGTCAGCACTTACTAATGCACTGCTTGCTCTCGCCTGACCTCCAGATTTGAGATGCAGGTTTCCACAGCACAAACTCCTCAGTCCTGCTGTTCCTATACTTACTGCAAAAGCTATATTACTATCTCCTGCTGCAACACAAATACCTCCATTTTGTCCTAAAACGTCATAACTATACAGCATACATACTGTACATTTAGAAATAAACCTGCAAATGGTAGGTAAACTTACACTATGTTTTAGCTTAATTCATACATTACCTATATTTAATGGTAACATTTATTTTATACAACAAAGTCCACAGCCAGACTTTGTGCTTATTCCTCCATTTGGTTTGGTTTCTTGAATGTTACATCGATGCCATATTATAAATGTTCAAACCACTAAAGTTCTTAAATAAACTAATTAAACAGTTAACTGCATTAGCATTTTTTTATCATTCGGATACTACAAATTAGTGAGTGTTATGTAACTAAAAGAGTTTATTGATAGGAAAATTATAAAAATTACTTCAATCAAGGTGCATACTATAGAAGTTCAAGCACTCTAAGAGATTGAAAGCCAAAGTTATTATTTTATGATTTAATTATTTATTTCCATACCTGTTGGCTTGTTGACCCCCAGGAAACCAGCACTGCCAAGAATCTTAAACACCCTGTGGGCTGGGAATTGTCCTGCCTCTTCCCATTCATCAACAAAAGGGTTGATCTCTTTATCAATGATCTGTAACAGATAACGAAAACATCCAGACACAGGACAGTAAGACTCTTTCTAACATAAAATATCATAGTACTCCATAACAGTCAAAAACCTGGATTAGGTCGCATGAAACCTATACAATTTTACAGGTAAGAGCTTTATTCTATGCTGAAAGGGTGCTATTTTAAACTGGTGTCAAGAGCGTTTTTACTTTCACCTGTACAAACCGGCATTCCCATTTCATTACTATTGCTGACAGGGGTACAAAGTACAAAACATGTTGTGTTTCTTGCATCACTTTTACATTTAGAACAACAAGGATTTTTAGGAAATTGTGCGTGTGTGTGTGATAGGGAGAGAAGGGATTTGTTCATTTCCACTAAATGTTAGATTTATCTTGGCTCAGTAATTATTGACATACACTCTAAAGTTTGGACAAACTGGAAAATACCATTTGAGTACATCATCATTACAAAGGAAACAGTAAAATAGCAGATCTTTATTTCTAATGGCACAATTAGGAATTGCTGTTTATCATAGTGGTTCAATGAAGAACTGTCTAAAGGCTAATTTGGCTGCAAAAGAGAGCTGCCCCTGACTTGACACTGTTTCATCTCCTAAGACATGGGCTGGAGTGGACATTTTACTTTATTTTAAAATAAGGAACTGAAATACAAAGTAAACAGCAAAAGAAAATGATAAAAATATTTAAGTTAAAATGTAAATATCTAATAAAAGTTCTAGGAAGAACTAATGTTTGTAGGGCTCTGCTATTACTCTACTACAACTGAGTAATAAATTCTCCATATGTTTTAATGTCTGTTTCTTAAAGACATACATTTAGAAATTACTGGATCGAGGAAGAAATGATACAATTGGTTCAAGGATAAAACTTAGCTGTAGTAATCACCTCCTGAAGCAGGCAATGAAATTCTCCAGTCACATTATTAAGTTGATTTCAGTGACCTCTGCCAGTGTGCAATATTCTTGACCAAATACATTTTTCTCTACCCAGCATACTCGAATGTTTGTACAGTAATTGCTACTGGGCATGGTTCAAGCATAAAAGCAGGTGTGAGTGGGGAGACATTGTCATTCCTGGTGTTTAATCTACCACACAGTAGTCAAATTCCACTTGACGTTTCACAGCTGGTCATTTTAAGAACATGTGCTATCTGGAGCCAGAGGTCGAATCGGTTTGAGATTACCAGCAGGGTTCAGGTCTGCAGTGCTAAACAATTAGTGGTGAAAGGAAACACAAAGGAGAAAAGCTAGACATTATATACCCAAAAATAATAATAATAAACTTTATTTTATATAGCGCCTTTAAAGGTGGCTTCTCAAAGCGCTTTACAGGATGACAATAACAATAAAAAAGAAGAATACACAAGATAAGACACAATTACAATATACAATTTCAACAATAACAATAGAGGAGACCGTGGATGGTGGTACTAAGAAGAGCAGAGGGGTGAAGAATGGAACCAGTTAAGTAAAGGCTTTTCTGAAGAAGAAGGTTTTGAGTCTGGATTTGAAGGAGTTTAGAGAAGGTGACTCTCTGATATCCTTGGGGAGAGAGTTCCAGAGCTTGGGGGCATAACAGGAGAAGGCCCTGTCGCCCATACAATGTAGACGGGCTTGGGGGACAGTAAGGAGACACAATTGGAGGAGGGAAGGTGGTGAGGGGGGGAGTAGGGTGATAACCCGGACAGGTACTGAGGTGCCAAGCCATGCAGAGCCTTATAGGTGAGCATGAGGATTTTAAAGATTAGAAACAGTAGCACAAATCCTAAAAAAGGAGTCCTGCCCTGTACCCTATGCGCCCAGGACAGATCCTGGGTTGCCACAGGAAAAGAGAATTTTAATTTACTTTTAAAGAAGCACGAGGTACACGATGAGTTAAACTGCAAAACAACAGCCTCTTCGATCCTTAGCTCATTCCATGCCACCAGTATAAAAACATTCGGCAACATTTTGGAAATACTGCAATCCAAATTATGATTTAAGGTGCAACTGATGTATTTAATTTAAGCTTAAAGCATTAACAACATTAATGTTAGTTTCAATCCAAAAGCTAACAATCTTTCACATTCTGACACTTTTAATGGCCATGACATTCAACAGACCTTTCATGAGTGGGTACATGAGTTTGGCCTTAGTCACTGAAAATACTTATTGGTTCACTGGAACAATGCGAACATTAGTACCATCCATAATCATAACTGTTAACAAAAAACACCTCAAAATAAAATGAAAGTTGTCTGAAGCTATTTAAAAAATATCAATAGTATTCCCTGCTCGTTTGGCACTTACAATCTCATTTTATTTTTAATAAACTGTTAACTATATCAATAATGAAAAGTGTAGTAAAGCAAAATGTTACTATTAGAAGAAATACGATCTATTGCCTGCTGTCCAATTTACCAACGGTAGTCAGAAAAACACTTATGTTTTCAATTGTAACCATTAACCTAGGAAAATTAAGACTTTTGACCAACAAACCACGCAAAGAATAATGGAACTGAGAGTTTTAAACATTTTCCAAATGGCAAATAAGTGCTTTGAGACTTTAACTGATGTAACTGACTCCAGTAGATAGTGAATTCAGCAACTGAACACCCCCCTAGTTCTTCCATTCACAAGTATCTGAAGACCATGTGAAACTCCATCTCCCTGTTGCACTGAGAGAAACACTCTGGGATTAGACAGACATTACTTGCTAAAATATCAAATCTAATACCACAATTCCCACAGCTGCCAGAACCAGAATAGCTCCCAGTTTTACTGGGCGAGGGGGAAGGTACCCCAATGGAGCTGGCGGCTCAGTGTGTGATCTCCTGTCACAGCCTGAGGAACAGCAACTTCACCTCTCAAATAATAACACAGTACGTCTCCTGTAGTGTCTGTAAATGTCTACTTATATGTTCACACCGTAAATGTCTGTAAAAATCTTGTTAACCGTTACCACTTGGGCAAAACCGGTAATCCATCAGTCATGCCATTGAGGTTATTTGAATACTTTGAATACCTCCCCCCTCACTACATGAAAACAGCTTAAGTTCAGAGCTTGTACAGGATTCAAATCAAGGAAAGAGCTCTCCAATAAATTCATTCTCCAGAAGTAACACACAGGCCTACATCATAAATGTGCTCCACTCTGAAAGAAAATCTGGCAGCACCCGTCTGTAAATACAAGTATAATACCCCCCCAGCTTCAAGCCTCATTGAGTGACAAATCAGGAAAGTAAACAGCTTCTCATTTACACAGGTTTCAGGAGTAACAGGCCAGCATTCCTCAGTGTTCGAGAGCATTAGGTGGTGCTATACTGGATATTCTCTGCAGATTAAGAAATTCCATGACTGAAAAAGGAAGGGAGGTTCAATGAATCAAGAACAGAACAAGGAAGCAGATTTAATTAGGCTGCTACGCTATTTCAATGTGACAGCCTGGAGAAAATCTTTGCTTTTACTTAACATCAGAACAGCTGCAAGCATCAATGTTCGTCTAACTATGAAGATAAAGGGAAAATAAAAAATGTAAAAAAAAATTACACTGATCAACATCAACACCAAAACAACCAATAGAAAATAATCTGAGATAAAACATAAATATAATAATAAATAAAGATTTGGAAATAAAAATATGAATTCTGTAGTGTACTCTATCCAACCTTCAGAGTGCTTTTTATCTTTGCCTTCCGATATCTTCTGTTCATGTCTTGACCCAGCTCACCAGAAAGCAAAGTGCTGACTTGTGCAACCGAAGGAGTTAAGCACCATAAATATAAAGCTTCACAACACAGCAAATACAGTGTAAGGCTGAACGATAAATTATAATTTCAAATTTACTGAATTGATACTTCTGATACTTATTTGTCAGGTCTGTGCGCACATGTTGTCACTGAGACGATATTGTATCAACTTTCAAAACATATTCATATTAGAAAGAACTAATGCCTTTCTTTTTTGTTCTCAGCAAAGCCACAACAATACCCAGGATTTAACAGAACTGACTTCACTGTTGTGTGTGATAGTCTATTAATAAAAAGTATTCTGAGGTTTTCTTATATAATCATGTTTATATTTATATTAACATGTAACATGTAATAATGTTTTTTTACAGTTATTATATGAAGTGAAACCCCTATGCCCTCCAGCCTAAGAAACTCTTCAGAAGTCAGGATCGTGAAAAGTCAAAAGTTAATTTTTATTTCAGATTTCATAGATTCAGAGTGTTATTCTCTGCTCATAAATAGCTCAGTATCCTATGATGTAAGTTCCCCGTAGAAGTTTTTAGCTTCTACTGATCTGATTTTTGTATTTGTAGCGCAGTTTTTTTCGGACTTTCCCATTGCCTTAAGTATGGGACTTCAAAGTCAGGCACTACACTTATTCCATTTTAACTGCAGTTCAAAACAAATTCAAGGCTATAAGTCGAAGAAAGCAGCTGGCTTGTAGAAATTCACAAACTATGTAAAGACAGTCACTGAGAACCACAGCACCAGAGAAAGCTCAGAAATATGCAGGTTGGATTGAGGTGTGGGCCATCCAAAACCTCCTTATAAAAAAAAGCAGTGTATGTATTATGAAAGGTAAACATTCTACATAATCCAATGAATAAATGCAACATATTTTAATGGTGTATAATTGCTAAGAACAAAAATGAAGCTGTATTCACTTTTCGTGCAGCTTGTTTTTCTCTAGATAGTTACATTTCTGGCCTATACAGTGGCACAGTGGATAGCATTTCTGCCTCACCCTGGATGCAGCTCTGGACCTCGGATTGCTGTCTGTTTGGGTTTCCTCCCACAATCCAAAGACATGCTGGTAGGTTAATGGGCTTCTGGGAAAACTGGCCCTGGTGTGAGTGTGTGTACAGTACAGTATGCGTGTCTGTGTGTGATGTGCAATAGACCTGCTTCACGTTCAAGGTGTATCCTGCAGCTGCGCCTGCTGCTGCTGGGATAGACTAAACCTCTGCTAGAAGTGGTTAGAAAATGGATGGGTTACTGTACTGTTTTTTTTTTCCCAAGTTCAGTGTGTATTCACTTTAATCTGTGTCATTGTTAAAACACTGCCTGAGGGTTCTGAGCTTCAGTGAGCTCTGCAATAGTTTTATAATTACATAAAACGTGCCCTGAAGTGGATTTCCTTACTCCGATTTTACTCTATAGAATTTTTTCTGGTAGTTGGCTTTCACTTTCCTCAAGGTATTGATAGGCATTATCTATTCACGCTTTTGCATGATGGCCAGATCTTTTGCTAACATGGCCTATCTTATTTCTTCTTCTCTTCCTCTTCACAGCCAGAAGGAACCAATAAGAACTTATTCTTGAAACATTATTATTTATAGTGAACATTTTTTTTCCCCATGAATTAATCCAATGTCGCTTGGAACTAGTAGTGCATGGAAATATTTAGGCTCCCCCTGCACTGTAGTTTAAAAGATGATGTTTTCTGCATTAAGGGCACCTCTCTCCTCCACTTTACAACAGATAATGTTCCATTTCACTGTTAATGTGGAAAGGAGGTTTTCATTTTTAGCACCTGAAACTGGAAAGCAGAAGATGACAAATGTGTCTTTAATGATGTAGGTTCTTTAGTTTGGATCTGCTCTAGGCTTTTGTACATAATATAGATACGTAAAACTGGAAAACCTCAATTGTATGTTTAACTTCACAAATCCCTTCACCTGCTGTTGGATTATGGAAAGGGAATTTTATCTAATAAAACCCAAAATGGCTTAAAGGGCAAGTCTGAAAGAAGCCTGTTTTTTTTTTATTAATTCCTGTATGCATTACCATTTATTCACAATATTTATTTCAATATCTGAATAAAGCACATGTAAAGCAGACTCTTGTCTGTTTTTCTGTAACACCAGCCACCACTGTAAATTCCTTTAATCCCCTAAAGATTCTGTTCATTTTCTAGTCGGTATGGAGTGAATTACCAAAAACAAACGTCGTCGCTATAATTACAAAACAGTCTTTAAATTAACTGGACACAAGAACAAGACTTATTGCACCGAAGAAACCGCATTTTTCTTCCAATCTTTGGAAACAGAGTATCTTGATGACAATGTAATGCAAATACTGGTCATGACAACCACGCTACAGGTGTCGCAAGGAGACGCTGGTTAAGACATTCAAAATCTTAACGAAGGACTTCATTGTAGGAATCGTGTCCTACGTGATGTCGTTTTAGAGTCTGAACTGTCAGATCGCTAATTAAAAACTGATCGTTTACGCGTTAAGTACGGTGTACTGTACTCAATTCAGAATGTAACACGACATTATAAAAAAGATGAAAGGAAACAGATCGACGAGTGCAAACTCCTAAAGAATTAAAAGTCTGTACATAAAGGCTCTAGGAATTCATTAATATGATCTATTGTAGTCAAGGAATTACTGTAAGAACACGCTATTTAAACTTAGTGTCCGTTTTGCGAATCTACACAACAACAGTTATTATTATTATTATTATTAGGAACAATAGGTTTATTCCACGCTGAAAAAAATAAGAAAGAAAACAACATTTCGGCCGTGGACCCTTCTTCAGGTGTGATAATAATTATATTATATTCGAATAACAATAATAATAATTATATTTATTATTCGAAAGTGCTGAGATGACAGCATTACTCAAAACTGCCGAAATAACAGCTGGTTTATTATAAGGTGAACTGCGGCTGCGCTTCAAAGGCGGAAGGAGCTGCTGCTCCGTCCCAGCATTGCCTTGTGTGTTTAAAATCTCAAGTCCATGAATATTAAGAATATTAAGAATAAAGAAGAATATAGAGAGAGAAGCTCAAATACAGCGATGTCGCGTCATGGCCATCACGTGACTCTGGGGTCCGTGTTTTGCTGCAGCTGTAAACTGAGAGAAGGGCAAAACTATGAGTCACCTTTCACCCAGTAAACACGATACTTGCATTTGGGAACTTACTTTGCTACTACCTTTCGAACAGATTACACCAAAATACAGGTTCAGGACCTAAACTGGAATTGACATGGACCAAAACAAAAACCAAAAAAAAAAGAGTCAAACTTGGGTCGTGCAGTAGATGACTGCGGCGCTGGTGAATCTCGTACCTTTCTCAGAGACTCCTTCAAGGCGAAATGCTCCTCAGTAAATATCAAATGATTAGACTCTTCGCATGCAGAACTTGCTTTGTGTTTATGAGAGCCATTTTCCGAGTATGCCCTTCCACGGAGGACCGACGGAGCTGGCTGAAACTGGCGGAGCTGACGGGTGAAATTCAATCGCTGAACGCCTTTGCACACAAACATTGTGGCCGCAGCTTCCGAGATCAGCACATGCGCTTTTGGAAACGTGCGGCACTTGTGCGGAGGGTCACAGACATTGTGGGAATGTGGGGCAGTAGGTACAGTACGAAGGTTTTCAATTTGAGCAATTGAGCAATTCCTTATTGATGCGACGAGAAGTCGTTAAATTGACGAATCCGCCTAAATTAAAAAAAAAACACATTCCTGAATGAAAACTATTGAACCTCTTGAATGAAACGATCAATGAAAACCATTTAGCGCATCTCAAAAAGAGTTCAGTGGTAATATAATGTACAAATTTGGAATCCACACGTTAATCCTCCAGACATGCGTACAACACGGAGTAGTTACAGGGACTCTACACTGCTATGGCGTTAAAACTTTGAGATGCCACGCTTCGGAGACGGCGTGGTAAAAACCCACTATGAACCAAGTCAGCACGGCTGCTCTCCAGGGGTGGCAGCTCATTCCACATCATCAACAGATTCTACTGTACATCACGGATTCATCTTCAGGGACCGGTCAAGTCCACCAGTGTTTGGTTTGCTCATAGTATCCTCGACTCTATCGAATCCTTACGCTGCAATGTGAACCAGGAATCCCTTCTCCATTAAAAAAATGCATTTATGTTCTTGATAATGTTGGACAGTAATCCCTCCCATGTACAGTATGGTTTAAAATGCACGTTACATAAACGGCATCAAGGGTAATTACAATTGGGCACCTAACTCATGACATTTAACGTGGACAAGTGCTGAATGTTCCACGCAGGTAGCAAAAACATATTCTATGGCTATGTAGTACATATAAAATGGAAAAGACAGAGCTCGGGTGAAAAATTAAGGATTTCCATAAGAAAACAAACAATGATAAAATATACTGTATAGTTAAAAGTGTACATTTCAAGTCAAGGTATGTTGTGCTAAAATAGTACAATGCATTGATGGGACTTTATTTAGAATAGAACCTATTACATTTTTAGAACTTAATTTTTTACCTGTAAAGTGCTTTGAGAGGAGTGTCCAGAAAAAACACTATATAAGGAATAATTATTTGTATTATTATTATTATTATTATTATTACATCATATTCAATTTTTCGTCACTGTGCTTCAAAAAGTATATTGCTCCTGTAGAATCATAGCTATTCAGTTATGTCGCATTTATGCCTCATCTTTAAAGGGGTATATGAAAAGACAAATTCCTAATGCAAGAAAATGTATGTCTAATAAAGTGATCTTATCTATCTTATCTTATTTAATAAAGTCTTCTTTGCGTTTTTTTATTTAAAAAATCTGTTGCCCAAGTGCCTCCCCTTTTCAAATGGAAAAACAGTAATCGCTCATTATCTGTTGTTTGCACAAGAAGGAATCAGCCTCACTATTAGAGTGCCAAGTGACAGAATGTCCAGGAAGTTCTCTGCCACCTTTCCATGAAAAGCCTTGTTTTTAATATAATTTCCAGGTAAGCTCTTTGAAAATAAAGGAAAGTTTTTTATCATATGTCAGCACAAGTTTGTGAAAGATATGTTCATTGCAAATGCACTTGCCAAAGAAATTTCAGTGTTGTCTCTCTAAAGGCCTTAAGGACAGCAAAACCCCTTTGATTTAGCATGCCAAAGAGCACGATTACAAATATCACTTTTGTGGTACAGTCCTCTGTACAGTGTATTTCTAAATGCCACGTTACATGTTTCTGCCGTCTGACTCAGTGCTGTACAAAACACAACATGCTGTCTGAAATGCTTTTAATTATAAAATGAGATACGGTTCAAAACACCTGTACAGAGGACCATACTAGCTTTTCCGACTTCAGATAAGTATTGCACCCCTTCCCAGATCAATATATTGTAAAGCTGATCAAGATTTCTCATTTATATTTTCAGTTCATCTCTTTGAATCTATGATTGATGACTCTGATTATCCTCTTTGGTGTTATTTTCAAAAGTACTGTAACTAAAACCTCTCAAAATTCAGTTGTAGCTCATGAGTAACACATTGGAACCCAGAAAACTATCAGAATCAGAAACTGTACTGTTCCTTTGCAGTCTTAGAAATTGCCCCTTGTTTTCTGAATTATGTCTTTTAAAGTTTATTGGAGCAAGAGACAGTGAAACAATGTTTTAACTTCATCTATAATCAAAAAGTGTCTGAGGATCTTCTCATCCAGTCATTTACTGAAGAAAATTCATACCAGACACTGCCACACCCTTTTCTGTCAAAAAATAATGCCTTTTGTACTCATTTTTAACCAAGATAGAGATACTGTACATATTATACTGTAGATTTTAGTGTTAATAGAAAATGCATAGAACACCAAACACTGTAAATTTAAACTATTACATCTTGGGCTGCAAGATTATTTATAGTAGCATAAAAAACCTTCTTATGTAAGACTGAAATAAAGGTTTTGTACAAAAAAGGCAATTTCATTCTGTTGTAAACAAGCTTGTTTAATCAAATTGTTTTGTTCAGGTACGAAACAGATGCTGCCTAGACAACAGGTGGCCATGGGACAGAGTTACAATTATTCCATCTAGCAAAGCTTTGACAACTGTTCCATAATTCTTCAGATTAAATATGTAGTTTAACAGAATTTATCACTTCACAGAAGACTTAAAACGTTGAAACGCAGACTGAGTTTGGGGTCCCCTGTCTTCTGTATAACTTGAAAACCGATGTAACTTTTCATTTTGTTGTGTTTGTTTTGCCCAGTTCTGGTGTATCCCAGCTGTGAGTGGCATGATTTATTTTTAATTCAATGTCCAATTGTTCTAAAGCAGGCTAGGACTGGGGAAGGAGGAATTTTTGGTTGTCCACCTCAGGCAATGACACACCCCCCCTTTTCCTTGAAAGGGTTCTTCTCCTCTGGGATTCCTTTCACGAGAGGGTCTTCTGCTGAACCAGCCTCGATGTAGTCTCTCACTTCTTCACAGCATTTAGATACCTACAGTGCAATCCAGAATAGCAACACCAATAAGAGAGCTGCAGATGTATCTTACATAAAATATGCAATGACTACCAATGGGCATCTAAATAATAACTCCTCCGACACCAATAATGCTTAAATAAATAAGCTTGTTTTCTGTTCAAGCTAAATTAAAAATGGAAATGCCAGACCTGTCAAGCTTTAATCTATATGAAGCTATCTCCTAGATTAAACAGCTTTCCTCATCCACTGTTCATGTAATTCAGATGTGTTGCAAATTAACAATAGTATACAAAATAGTACTGGTGTGTAGTAGATAGCAAACATTATCAATAATGTATGAAATTCATTCAAAGGAATGTTTACGGTTGAAGGTTTGCACAATAGATAAGTGTTTACACACCTGTTTTTATTCTTTACAGCGGGGTTGTATGTACAGTCAATTAAATTATTTTAATACATTTTCCAAGCAAACACTAACAAAGCTGTTGGCTAAACACTTATTTCAAAGCTGATATTGTTTTACAGGTCTAACAGAAAGCATCAGAAAATGCTACAGTTTCTAAAACAAACACATTCAGTCACTACACCCTTTATTTTGTTTGGAAGAACTTTAACAGTTTTCAAAATCGTTTCTGAAGATTATTTTTCTTAATATAACATGAGGATGTATTTCTGTACGTATTTTCGTAGCAATCGGTGAGCCACTCAAGAGATGTGCTGTTTGTATTTTGTGAAAAATGTTAAAGATATACAAGTATCACTCTGTTTTGTGGATACATCGGGAGTTATTTACATTATTCCCACTCAGTAAGAGAAACAATTATGAGACAGTATGCTGTGATTTTCCAAGTTTTCCTGTTACCTTACAAACAGTTCAAAAGTGAATTTAGATCACGGCTTCCTGCACACAGATCTAGTGTAATAGTAGATAACATAATACTACCCATAACAGTAGGAATATAGAGTACAATACGTGAATTGGCATCATATGGTAATCCCAGAGCAAAAGTGTTAAAATATATGATATCCTACATTATCAGAAATAAATTAGTATTGTCAGGCTCCAACCATGTTGGGTTATGAAATGTATTAGCCTTAAATGTTTTTTTAAAAATCCCGTTTTATCCTTTGTGATCCTGCATGCACAGTACGTTTTATACTGTACTTAAATCAATGACTTTTAGAGATGCATTATCTCCCTTTAATTAAAATTATTCTATACAAAGATGACAGATTAACCTGAAAAGAGGTCAAAGAACATAGTTATATTGTGCATAAAATATTAAAAACTTACCAGTGCTCTCTCCAGTTTCACTTCAATCTTAAGTTGATCTACTTCCATTTTTAGTTTATCTTTGTCTGTCAAATCATCCACATTAATTACCGGCATTTTCTATGAAACATTGTAAGACAAATTGGTTAACAAAAATATAGTAGAACACAATAAATTAATTTATTATGACTAATACATTTTGGTCATTTTATAGCTACATAGCTAGTGAATTTGATAATTCATTAATAATATCCAAAATATGGATTTTAGCTTGATTGGCTAGCTACGTCAGATTATAAAAAGTATATGATTTTATGCCAATTTAATTTTAGAGCACTGTGTAAACTAGTGTAAATAGCTTGGTTTAAAAACAAACCCGGCCTCTGGAAAACAACACAATCTTGCAAATAATGTAAGTAAAAGTATAATTAAACATACCGCTGCGTATAGTGAGCTGCCTTCAACGCCTGTAAACTTAACAGTTCACCAGTGCAGAACTAAAGAAACCTGCAGCCTTTCTCCAATCTGGGTTTTAAAGTAATCTGTATAAACATCTTAATCATTTAATCAGATTAAACCGAGATCCACAGTTTGTTTAACACATCACATATAATGTAAAAAGTTCATTCATTTATGTGCCCCAGAAGTTTGTAAATGTTTCTTTAAGTGTCATAATGTCACTAAATGATTTTAGATTCTGAATAGTGATATAATTCTAAATAAGAGGTTCAAATACAATCTTAATGAATTCATCTGGCTCTAAAATTTTAACTTGGATGTAGGTCAAGGGGATATCTCACAATGCAATACAGGTCGATAAGACCAGATGTATAATCTGTACTTACCCTAAACCTGTCTTTTTTAATAATGTTGAGTGTTCATATCCTTATTTTATTTGGTCAACACCTACAATTCCTACAAGTTCTGTACAAAAGCATACACATAAGAAAAATATCTTAATGACTATAACTATATATAATAAGCATAAAATGTGATTAAAAATAACACAATCTTGATTTCCCTTGATCACGATGTATTTGTATAGTGTAACAATTTACATATGGAAAGCTGAAAAACAGAAAACTGAACATTATATGTAAAATAATCATATGAAAATCATCTCATATGCCAGGTCATGGAAGCAGAAATCATGTTAAGGACATTTAAAATCTCTTTTTCTCAATGTGCAAGTAGGCTTGCAAAAATACACCATCTCTGGGACAAGATATACATTTAATGAAGTGAAACAGCTTGAGAACAGTTAGTACTGAGCTATATTTCCCCAATAGCGGATGCTGTCCTCAAACTCTGTGGATGTCAGCTTAGGTACTCTGCAAGCTTCAAAGAAAGTCATCGGAATACACCTGCATTCCTCATTACCATGGTGCCTTTTGGTGCCATGCACATTTTAATTTAATTTTAAATAATAGATTTATTTTTGACATTGTGTTCATAGAGTATGTGCTCTCTTTGTTTCTGTAATGTTTATCGTCATCACCTTCTGATCTTTACTAGTTAATAATTGCTATTGTAGATGTGGAAAGCCTTGAGATTAGCTTGCTTGCCGACCATCCAGTCTTTCTGTGTTGTATTTTTAGTGCAATATATAATAAAGTCAGCTGATATTAGAATATTGTTAACTTAAATTGTCTTGTAGTTGAATGGAAACTGCAGTCATTCCATTTGAATTAACAAGGCTCTCAACGCAAGCTTAAGGCATTGATTAACCGAATCTGACAGTTTATTCATAGATTGTGTTTAAATTACATTAATCACCATTTAAATCTTTGTGGATGTCTCTCAAACTCAGAATAACCTTTTTTAGTGTGTCAGTTTTTTATATTAGATGCACACTGCAAACACAAAATCTCAGCTTTTCATTTTGTAATTGAAGAAAGAGCGGGATTTCTCCAGCACTTTGTCAATATTCAAATACAGGTACTGTAAGACAAATCAAAAGGACAAGCATAGCTCTTGCTTTAGAGCTCTAGTTGACTTATTGTCTCCTGTCTGAGGATGGACTGATAAGCTGGCTTTTTACCAGAATTTATAAATCAAACCAAACAAGTAAACTCTACCAAATGTCAGTTTCCATTTTTTCAGACTCTCAGGTTCTTCTCCGAACAAAGGTAGTTGTCCCAAAGAACCCCATCCAATGTCTTTTAAGCTCTTTACAGCAGACCAAATACCCACTCCCAGCGCATAATATATACACGTGCTGGGGGTTGTAGTTTCCAAACTGATCCTGTTTATCTTTGTTAGGAGCAGTCTTAAAGTATTCCTGCCCTCACTAACTCTCTCTTTCTTCACAGTACTACAACACCTTGTATAATAATGCCTTTTTTCGGAGCTAATACATAATAGACTAAATAAACTTGAAACCGTAACAGTAGCAGCAGAGATTGACTTAAGGCAAAGAGATCCTTACTTTTGTGTGAACAGGGTCATATACTGTACAGTAATTCACTGTTTTACATAACTTTGATCTTTTGCTCCCTTATCACAATCTGTTTGGTTTGCTTTTATGCAATGGGTGTCACTATGCTGGCTTCCTGTTTTTTCATAACGTGAAGGAAGTGCAAACTGGGAAAACCTGTGGGTAAGTTACAAAAAAAGGGAGATTTTACTAACATGGTGTCTCAAATAAGAAAGAAGAGTGCACTCCCAAAGCTGTTGAGTAGCTGTCCGTGACAGTCAGTGAAAAAATAAGATGAGCTGGATTCTCTCTCTACACCTATTTTTATTAAATGCTGTGAGCACCACTGTACTGATAGAAGTATGCAATATTCCATAAGGCATGGACAAAGCCAAACCTGTAGATAGGTTTCTGAATGATCCAGGAGGCACAAGGGGAAACTGTGTGGAAGTACAATTAAAACTGGGACCAGGAGGCACATCTTTAGTTGTTGTGGGGTTGTGGGAGTCTGGAACAAACTCCCCAGCCACGTTGTCGAAGTTGATACTCTGGTTTCTTTCAAGACATTTCTGATTGAGATCCTTGGGTCAATTAGCTACTAACGACCAAACTGGCTAGATAAGATAAGGTCATTTTATTGGCCAAATACAATTTCTTTCATTAAGAATTTGTTTTTTCACATACCCCGGCTCTCCATGAAACACAGACAGGGAGAGAGAAGCCTGGGGTCAGAGTGCAGTGTCAGCCATTTATACAGCGCCACCGGAGCAGTTGGGGTTAAGGGCTTTACTCAGGGGCCCTATGGAGTAGGATTCCTCTGCCGGCCGTGGGATGGGCCTCCTCTAAATTCTACACAGTAACCGTTCTTATGTTCTTAAAACTTACATCTTACAAAAGCCTTCATTGGGACCATCTAGCAGCTGACATGGTGTTTTCTGACACCCGATTCTTGATGTTCGCTGTACTACCTGTGAACCTGTGGATAAAGGATTCCCTGACTATTCCATTTACGGTATTTTTCTGTGTGAGACATACTGGATTGGCTGGGTGTTAGATTAATAGCATGTGTGCTGCATGCACTGCAATCATTGCTTTGTCTTGCTCTGGATTAAAAAAAAAACATTTTGTATTTATCTGTACAATTTGTGTTGATTCTTTCATTTTTGCCAATTCCTCCTTTGAAAATACATTGTTGCCTTTGTAAAGTAGTTCTAATCACCATCTGCTCCTACACAATACTGTATGTTACTCACCAAGGCTACAGAAAAATAATTGCCTGCTTATTTTTAATGGGATGAGCATTACCTGAATGTCACGATCGTAATCCCTCCCCTTAAGGGCGCTCTGACACTTTCGTATTTTAGTTTATTACGTGCACCTGCCCCCTGTTTAGTCTGACACTATTTCAGCCTGGTGCTCTCACTATTCCTGGCTCAGCACTGGGAGATGGACGCCCGGAAGCCCACCTACCAGCGGGTCCAGGAGAGACCTGACGGCACAGGCTTCATCACGGCGTCCTGACCGTCTGAGTCCGGGGCTCGGAGCGCCTGGCCTCCTTACCCTGGTTTTATTCCCTTTTCTGGATTTGAATCGTGTTTGTCTTGTCTTGAATGGATCCCCCAGTTTTGGACTTTGGACTGCTCCCCGGATTTCCCCTTTTGGACTGTCTGAACTTGTTTGCCATCACCACGCCCCCCGGGCACCGGATCGCCATAGTCACGCGCCCCTGACTGTCAGCCCGTGCTGATCCTCTCCGTCTCTTCCCTGTGTCCTTCTCCACTTACTTCTGGATTATACCATCTGCATGGGCTTCTGAACTATGCTTCGCGGGTTCCTGGACCGGCTCCTGTTACACTAAAGCTCCACACTTTGTTTTAATGAAGGCTGGCACCCATTTTTGGAGGAATGTATAACGTGCCTCTTGTCCTTGTCCATTAGAATGAGTTATGCTGCCTCATAACGTAACGTGCTGTGGCATATTTACGTGAATGTGAAAGAAATGAAAAAATGTTTTAAAAGCCATTTGGTAAGATGGGTGACACTCAAGGATGTCTTTTCCCTAGAGAAGGCCTGTCACAGGGAGGTAGAGAGCTGATCAAACAACCAAAAGCATAATATAAAAATAAGGGGAAGTATCTGCAAATAATCTGTATTTATTCTGTCCAGTATCTATGTACTGTAGAAGTCTGATAGTTGTAGTCACCTTTCAGAAAATTAACATTAGGTTCCAGGTCTTTTAATACAACTGCCTTAAAGCTATGAAATATGATTCATCTTCTAATTAGGGCACAGTACTTTTACCTGAATTCTGGTGAATATGTCCAGTATGTGGAGATCTCAGGCTCATTTCCCTACTGTGATTGCAATCACAGTCAACCCACAGCTTCAGCTTGGTTCTAATGCAGACACTTACTGTACACGAATCACTTTATTTTACAGTAATGTGTGCAGAAAAAGTACTAGAAGAAATACATTTTTTACCTTTTGGACAATGTAAAATTCCATTAATCTATTTTATAACATCTTTATCCAACACAGGGTTTTGGGGGACCTGGAGCCTATCCTGGTAAGCAATTTTTCCAGAAGCCAATTAACCTAGTCATATGTTTTTGAGCTGTGGGGGGAAACCCATGCAAACACAGGGAGAACATAAACTCCACACAGATAGCAACCCAAGTCCAGAATTGAACCCCAGGCACCAGCAATGCTCTGGGGCTCAGGATCTGCACCTGTGGCTGGAAGGCTGCCGGTTTGAATCCCGTGGCCGGCAGAGGAATCCTGCTCTGTTGGGCCCCTGAGCAAGGCCCTTAACCCCAGCTGCTCCAGGAGTGCTGTATAAATGGCTGACCCTGCGCTCTGACCCCAAGCTTCTCTCCTTGTCTGTGTGTCTCATGGAGAGCAAGTTAGGTCTGTGAAAAGACAAATTCCTAATACAATAAATTGTATATGGCCAATAAAGTGATCTTAACCAATGAGCCCCCATGCTGCCTCAATAAAATTGTTAATATTGCCTTAATATGTATCTTGAAATATTAACATCATTGCAAATAGCATCATTGGGAAATTCTTACTGTGCAATAAATTAGTCATAAGTTTGCTTTTTAATTACTAACATTTTAATCTTCAATCAACCCCATGTGTTATTCAATCAACCATGTGTTATTTACGTAATATACAAGTCAATATTCCTAACATAAAGTCTAAAAAGGGAAGGTAATATTGGTCTTATCTACTGATAATTCTTATAAGTCATGGTTCTAGGCATGATGACGTCGAGGGGTGTAATGATTCACTTTAAGGTTGTACTAAGTACGGTACTAAGGACAAGTATTGCAGGCTAGTCTTCAAAGGGAGCCAAATGTGTCATGCTTATTGCGCTTTCAGGGTGAATTAGAAGGACACTGTACTGAAAGTGAAATTTTGTTAATAAAAGTTAAACTTTAGGCAGTGTAAACTACAATAACATGATTACATTAATTGAATAACGACAACAAATTAACTTATTCTCTTGATTTGAATTGCCGTATAAGGTGCATAAATAGGACATCCATTGTCGATGGAATGCTGTTATTAAACATAGACAGTGTTGGTGATGAGGAGGCTACGTACAGTTATCATTTAATTACAAAACTAATAACGCGTTCTCAATTATGGAAATATATGGGCCTGTGTATCAGCAATGTACTGTACATGTACTGTAGTCTGTGAATCCACATTTGTTGTTCGGTTGACTCATCTACAGTATTTCAGACACAGAGCCCTTACTTAATTTCGGACTCATTCCTGGTGTAGTACTGTAGTTAACTTGGTATTTGATTCACCGCCCTATCTGGGATAAACTGGGCCAGTCCAGCTCATTTCTGTTCACGGGTATTTCCCCGGTTCGGGCGCTCATTTGTGCCGGATCACACACTGAATTTGTTAAATCCAGTTTCACAACGGTTTCTAATCCCCCGGCCCCGTGTTATCACTGCCTGTGTTGATTTTGCGTTGCAGCGGAGCGCTACAGTACATCTCCTTTGCTGATTTATTAGCTTAATTTGTTTCCTAGTTTCGACTTTTGGTTTATTCGTTTTCCGCTATCGGTACGGGGTTCTTAAAAAAAATCCCCAGTTCAAAAGCACAGTTTGCAAAGGCTTCAGCCTACAAATGAATACCGGCACTTTCCCTTTCATCTTTTTAAGCCATATTTCTGACTAAACCGCACTTAATACGTTATCAAATGACAGGTGGAAATGACAATACATCATACTGATACAATCAGTATATCAGACTCTCACGAAGAGACTTTTCCCTTTCTGATTTGGTCTAGTCGGTTTGCATTCCAGGCAACACACCTGCATGAGGGAAATGTTGAATCTCATAAAACATACAGGATGGACGGCATTTATAAATCGCAATGGGGCTTTCAGACATGATAGCAAAGCAGAACTACTGTATAGTAACGCTGAACTAATATAATTAAAAACTAATAATTAGAAACAAAAACCTGAAGACACAGATATCTCTCTAGACCAAGGTGGAAAAACACCGAATTGGAAAAAAAAATCTTAAAAACGATAGGAAAAAGATATACTAAAATACACATTTCTCTTCCCTGCAAAACTGCATTTGGACTATGATTAGTTGATATGGGCTTAACAAAAAAGACATGAAAAATATAAAACAGGAAGCAGAGAGTGAGACGATATCTACAGTAAAACAACAGTGGGGTGTTGTTTATTCATAGCAGTAAGAGTGGACATGTGGCCTTCTCCGTTGTTCGTCAAACTGTTTTCAAGTGCTGAAACAGAACCGAAGAAACATCATAATCGAATTTTAAATGCCAATGTAGCGTAAAAAGAAAACACCCAACACTGACGATTTGCCCTGCTAACATATCTCGCCAAAATCAGTTAGATTCTGAATGCATACGCATGTGTTATTCCTGATTTTGGTGAAGAATGGAGATGAGTACAGTATATGTGTAATAACTACTCAACCATCCTATTCAGCCTATGGAGAGAAGGCATGACATTATGTGCAATTCGAGGCAAAGACTTTGGGTTTTAAATAATTTACGTTGTACTGCAGTATTCTGAGCAAAACGCGTGTGATGCCCAAGTGATTCAATCAGCAGTATCGCGAACTGATGTAAAATATGACTTCACATGTAACAAAGGAATTAAGTAACTTTCACTACAGTGACTGGAAATGACTCGTGAAGCACGCCCTTTTCAAACTCCCAGCCGGAAAGTTTCCACGGTATAAAAGAGCCTCTGGAAAACGGAAAGCTGTTTTCAAAGGGATCTCGAAAAGGGTTCGCTAGGGCCGCAATACAGCCAACACTGCAGCAATGGAATCATTAACAGGAAACATCATTTTGATTTTCTCCCTGCTTGTACAAGCGTTTGGATTGCCACCAAAAGGTAAAATGCCAACTTCTACTGAACTGTTTCCCGTTGCTCTGCAACACGTTTTCTGCCTTGTACACAAGATGAGAGATGACTGTTGAGGGAAGCAAAACGGTTTAAACTTTTTTTTTTATTCCAGTCATTCTGATTTGGCCCTTAACGGGTTTTGATTGTTTCGGATTAGAAAGTTAACGTTTTGCACAGAAGAAACAAAATTAGAGACGATGCGACTTTTCAGGATGCCCAAATTACTGCAGTGTGTGAGCGCGATACAGTACAGTATGTGTGTCTGTTCTCAGTTAGAAGAACATGGGCCGGTCGCTGTTTTGTTTTCGACTGGAGAAAATTTCTTTGGAACCCTAAATTAAAAATGATGTATAAACTCTCTTTCTGTTCCAGAGGTCTGTCTGCTCCCAGTGGCTGAAGGTCCCTGCAGAGCCACAATTCCGCGTTATTACTACAACAGGTACACGCAGAAATGCGAGGACTTCAGCTACGGCGGCTGTCAGGGAAACGACAATAATTTTGAAACTTTAGAAGAATGCGAGAAAACATGCTGGAAGATACCAAGTGAGTACTGTATATCCCCTCCCATGTGAAATGTATAAAAACTGTCAAGCACGTGTGCGTAACCTTGGAAAGGAGCGACAGAAAGGTGAAAGTAGACTTTAACGAAAGTTTCAGCTTAAGCTAACGTCTGATGGTTATGTCTAAAACACACGTCAGTTAGCTCTGTGGAAGTTTGTTTTATTAAAAAGAGAATACTGAAATAAAACAGAGCAGTCAATCTTATTTTATACATAATGTACAGTATAATTAAAGTCATTTTATTTTCGCAGTCCTATCCAGTATTTGTTCCAACTTCATACAGATGCATGAGTTGAATGTTTAATGTTTCACAGTCAATTAGTATTTACTTCACAGCAGTGTTTTTTTATTAGAGGTTTTGAAAGTGTAGGTTTGTTTAGAATTTATTGTTATATGTACCAGTGTACTGAAATGAAATGTTTCCTTGTCTATTTCCTCACATACAATACCAGATGATATCACAAATTGTTGGAGACGACCACATTTTGGAGGATCATGCACGTTAACATGTTTTACCGTGGATGTGTGACTTTTATGTAAAACATGTTAGAAAATGATAATTTGTAGAATACTATGTTATGGTTCCGAATGCGAACCGCATAACGTTCCAATAAATATGATCATTTTGTCTTAATTTGGCATCAGCGTACTCATGATGTTCTTTCCTAGCCTCCTGTAGTGGGAAAATAATTTCCAGAATGCTTTACCAAAAGAGGTTGTCTTAAGTCTGTCACATGTTTGGTCCGTTTTTTTTTTCAAATACAGTGTGCAACACATTTTGTTTAAACTTCCTGCCTTAAATGCGCGAATGCCACTTTTTAAATGTATACCGTGTTGGCATGTGTATTTGTTATCACTCACTTCACCCACCATTGAAGTTCTACCTTTGCAAAGCACATGACGTGGTTATCTAGAAGTAGAAAACAATTTTCGTCTGTGTGTGGTGGTGGTGGGGGCTACAAAGTTAATGCGTTTGGTTGCCAACTCGCCTAACTCCATTTCTTGTACGTTTAGAGATTCCCAAAATCTGCAGATTGGATAAAGAGGAGGGGCCATGCCGTGGTCTTTTCAAGAAATACTACTTCAATTTCACCGCGATGCAGTGCGAAGAGTTCGATTATGGGGGCTGCCGCGGCAATGCCAATCAGTTTGATGATAAGCGATCCTGCATGGAATCCTGCGACCCTCACAGATGTATGTTGTTACATGTTCATACCTGATGCGACGCCTCTCTTGTGCTCTACAGTTCGAGGGGTTAATTCCTGACAAGTGTTGCTATATTGTTTCGCAATACATTTGCCCATTGAAATTCTTTATAATTTGGCTTGTAAGAATAAAAACATGGCCATGTACTGTAGGAGAATTCAAGTTCACGCTCTGCAATGCGTTTACCGTATTAGGAGGCAAAACGAAACCCACAGTCTTACAGTAAGTGCTAGGCGAGTTTTTAGCCTTTTACGGTATTTTCTCTAATCTTGACCTCGTTTCTATTTTAAAAGGAAGGGGGGAAATCAGTTCGGTGCCTTAACAACTTGAACTACAATCAGAGCATGAACATTTTTTAAATTTTTAACGTAATCCTCAATAGTTCGACTACAGGTTTCCATTGTGAGAATAATATGCCTACCAGCTAGGCAAGGTCCCTGAGACTGAAGGCTATTAATTTTCACATGTCATGTGGCTTAGACCTGCTGATGTTATTGGTGTCCCTCATTTAGAGGTAATGAGCTGAAAATATGTGTAATGGAACATAAGGGAAACATATCACAGGTCTTAGCCATTCTGAGCTGCACACAGACCTGCGTCATGCAGTGCAGATATTATGCGTCAACAGTCCCAGACACCCCAGATTTATAGCAACAGCCTGACTTTCCTTTGAGGTCTCCCATCCCAGTGCTGACCAGGCCCAGCCTTGCTTTGCTCCTGAGTTCTATTAAGATCGGTCTACAGGGTGGTACTGTAACTCTGCCGTTCATTTCCAATAGTTGCAGACTTAAGTTTAAACTCGTGGAGTTTTCAGTAGCATTTCCATTTCTGAAAAACCCCTCAGACATTGAACCGTGCATGCGTGTGATGTTTGTGCAGTGACACAGCAGGCTACAATAACTCTGCTTGGTCTTTTGTTCTCCAGCCATTCCAGCTTTCTGCCTCAGCCCAGAGCATAAAGGATTTTGTTCTGCCTCCATACCACGGTATTACTACAGTCCAATCCGGAAGTCCTGTGTGGAGTTTATCTATACTGGCTGTGGAGGAAACAGCAACAATTTTGTTTCCAAGCAAGTGTGCAATGCAGTTTGCACAAAAGGTGTGTGGATAGACGTGAATTTAATAAAAGTTCTAGATTTATGTGCTTTTGTCGTTTAACACGCAACCTGGGAAATGGTATTTAGAATTTTTTAGTGCAGCATTTTGCAAGATGATTGTGTAATTTATAAATCGGCCACCAAAAAAAAATGGTTGCAAAAAAATTTGGAATTTGGACATTTTATTCCAAATAACTGCTTTTCCATATGAGTGGGATTTAGTGTCTGAAAAAGGTTAACATGAGATTGTGTTTGACTTAGTTATCATACCTATACAAGGACTGCAAGCAGGAAGTCATAACTGTTACTAAAAAGGGGTGAACACATCTCCCAACAAGTTCACTGAACCATAATACTGGAAAACCAAATCGGTATGTAAAAATAGTTTGCTTGACTTCTTTCTTAAAATTGTTTTTTATGTATGCCATTCAATTTTTTTTTTCAGGAAGAAAAATGAGACCAAGGCCAGCAAATGTGTTAATCAGGAGAAAAGTGAAAAGAATAAATGAATAAGGTACTTTGTGAAGTGATTTGTTTACAAACCAGCTCAGAAGTGCCTTCGGATGAGAAATGTTTTTCTACTGTTGTCAGTATTAAGTTCTACTGTATTTTAAGATGTTATGTATGGTGAGTCTATATACTGTATATATACAATGGATATGAATATTAATTACCTCATGCTGTATCACAAAACCGTCTTGCTGCTTATATTTGAACCTTTATAAAGTCAAGATGTAATTATTATTCATACCCATCATTCACAGTGGCTGCATGATCTTAAAATATCACCTTAACCTTGGAGGGTTCTCCATGTGAGACATTATTTTAAAATATTTACACTATGAAAGTATGTTACATTTGCACTATATTAAGACTGCAGTATTTTGAATTTTGTACAAAGCGCATTTTGTGTATTTTTTATTTGAAATATCTGACAGATACTCCTCTCTCCAAAGACAGAATTATTATAATCTAAATGACAAAAAACAATGCCTAAAATAATCTGGATGCTGAGATTATCAAAATGTTTTTGAAAAGACAATTAAACTTTATTTTTACAGTTGTAGATAAAACAAAACTAAGAAGTTTTCTGATAATTAAAGTTACATATGAATAGTGTTTTTGTATAGTTTTTAGTGGTTTGAACCTCTACGATATGGAGAGTGGAGCACCTTAAATTTGAATTTTATATCTGTTATTCTTTTTAAAATGTTTTAATACTCAGATCTCTTATTTATGGTTTTTGTTGTTTATGGCTTCCAAAACGTCTGCAGTTTATTTCTGTGGAATAAAATTTTTTACCTTGAATTTTCAGTGTTTTTTTGCCCTTCTACAGTACTGTAAGTTAACAGGCTACAGTATACAGTATACAGTACGATGAGCGAGAGAGTCCTGATCTGGACAAGTTCTTGTCAGTATTTCAGATGAAGGCATTTTTTTTTCTTTTCTGCACATTTTGTGTGACTGACAGGAACAAATCATTTTATTCCTACGTGTTGCTGTTATCTTGGTCAAAATGTATTATTTTTTTGCTGTTTGATATATTAAAGTTGTTGTGGTTTTTGGGAACACCCATATACCGTATGAACATACAGTAAGGGTTACAAATAAGTGGAGGGTATTCGGTTCAACTAGCTCATTTGTTTGCTAGTAGCTCATTTATCCTAGACTAGTTTGAATTTTTGAACATATTCTTCTATGATATTAACGAGAAGGATTCAATTCTTTTGAAATGCCAAAATGGGATATTCTTTTAAGGCTTACAATGAACCATTCAATTTGTTATTCTGCATTGGGCCAATTCCAGAGCAGCAGTATCTTTTTTTGAGAGAGAGAGGAGTTTATTTGCCATATGTACATTTACATTGGGATATGTATTCATGCTAATCTCTCGGGACATGCACAGCACAATACACAGCATTTTTTGTAATGTGGTAAAAGAATAGTACATTGTATTCTAAATGGGTTCTTCCTAATGTGTTGTACAATTTCAATTTAACATCCCTTGATTTAGATTCTACAATTTTAGCAATATATTAAGTCATGCTTTTCACCTTGCTTATTGCTTCGCCTCACTGTTTACAGGACGAAACATTTTGTTAACCTGGATATTTGTATTTTATGTAAGTTGTTTGTTCAAGCTCTGTGTTGTTGACCTCATATTGGTTGTTTGTATTGCTTGTGTTTGACACTCTTCTTGACTACATTACATCAGCTATGTGTCCAGTCTTGAATTTAGTTTTTTTCATTGTTTCTAAACTTATACAGTCTGATCTGGTCATATTTTGGTATCACCTGAAAACCTTACTAATTTACTCAATACAGTAAAATGATATAAATTAAAAAAACTGTGGTCCTAACACAGATTCCTGGGGTACTCCACTAACTCCATCATCCCATTTTGAGTATTCTCTACTTTGCCTTAGTCACTGTTTTCTGTTCATGAACCAGTTCTCAGTATGAGTACATGTATTACCTTTTTTGGTATGGCCTTCATCTTAATAAATCATATTTTAGGAGGAATATTATCAAAAGCCTTATGAAAAATAAATACTGTATGCCATGTTCTGTTTATATCTGTTATTGTTGTCGCCTTTAACGAGATACAGTATGCAAGATCTTTTTTTTAATTTCATGTTGACTGTCTCTTAGAATCGTACTACAATACAAAGTTTAACTATGATTGTCCATTAATCTTTTAATGAAAGAATGAGTGCAAATTCGCTGTGTATAACGTTAGTACAAGTTTTCATTTATATAGAACTTCATATTCATTATTCCCATAAACTATTCTTTATATTAACACCCAGATCCACATGATTGTTCATGTTTTCAAAAGGTAAAACAGTGGTCATTTTTATACAGTTCTTGTGGACTGGGGACTGCTTTTGCGAGTCAAAGCATTAGCACTTTAGTCTTCTGACTGCAGCTCCCTAGTTTTTGGATCTGAAATAATGATCTTTTGAGGGTTAAGGTTAGGAATGTGGGAGCTCACATGAGGCACTAATAAAAGTCAGGCAGCACTTTGAAGTCCTGTATTTAAACTCCCTTTTATACTCTAGCTTTTGATTCTGTACAATTGACTGTTTTAGTGTCTCTGTACAGTATTTTAATGTACAGTGCCCAGACATGATGTATTGAAATAAAGATCTTTATATAAACTTTGTTTTAAAAAAAACAAATGGTCAGTCTTTCTCTGCGAACGTGTTCATTGATAATTTCATTAATTTGGGAGACATAGCCAAGTGTCTGACACTTGTTTCAGTTAAAAGGATCTTTCCACTTCATTTTGGTGACAGTCTGTCAGAAATACAATATCTTCTTCAATATGCTGTTTTTAGAAAGCATATTATTATATCTCAACTTTGCTGAGAGGAAGCTCTGCTGTAAACAGGAGCACTTCAGAAGTTTGCACTTCAAGGGTCACGCCCTTGGCAGTAATATAAAATGTTATGAAAGTAGTACTGAAATACTGTATCGCTATACTTTATTGATCCCTGGGATAATTTAACATGAAGCCATTTCACTGTCTATTAAATACTGGACATTTAAAACTATGAAGAAAAAAAATAATGTATCTGCTTAAAACCTTCATAGTGAAATTCCTTCTTATTTGCTTGTCTGGAAAAAATACATGGGCAGCATGGTGTCGCAGTGGACAGCATCGCTTCCTCGTAGTGCTGGACACTGGGATCAGTCCCAGACCTGGAACTGTATGTATGCTGTGTGTTCTCCTGATGTGCGTGTGGGTGTCCTCTGGGGGCTCTCGTGTCCTGCCACAGTCCAAGAAGCATGCTGGCAAGTGAACTGGCTTCCGAGAGAATTGGCCCTGGTGTGCGTGTCAGTGTGTCTGCCCTGCGATGGACTGCTAACCCATCCAGGGTGTGCCCAGCTTTGCACCGGGTGCTTGCTGGGATAGGCTCTGGCTCCGACGTGACCCTGAATTGGAAGAAGCAGTTAGGGAATACGGATGGATGGTATGAAATGTTTTTGTAAGGATGATTATAACCAAGCTCAGTCCTGCTACTTTTAAAAGAGAATCCTCAATGACCTCACTTCTCAAAAAGCTATAGGTACCCTCGTGAGCTCTCTTCCTTGCTGTCATTATTTTCTCATCCCTCCTCCACTCCTTTTCCAGCTTTGCAGCTGCTCCTTGGCTAAAGAAGTTCGAGTGGGGAGTTGTGTCAGCGTCAGTGCACGCTGGCTCCACAGGAGAAAGCAAAGGTCAATTCCACACTGTAAAGCAGAAAGACACCCTTAATACGTAAATAGTTAGTCTATGGGGTAAAAGTATAAAACTGCTTGCTCACAGCAATGTATTAGTTTCAGAGCATTAAATATGAAGTTGATGACATTATACCCTCTATGCTTCACAAAGACAACACAAAGGTCTGGTGGAGCGTGAAGTCCTTGCATTAAGCAGCAGTCTTATGATACTATTTCATTATTTAATGTCCCAGATGTAATGGAGAGTAATTCCCTCTTGCTGATGGCAGTGGCTGAGTAGTTGGAGCATCGTTTCCTAGAGCAGCATGCAGAGCTCAGTATGAATGTGTGCCCATTGGGAATGCATTGTATGCGTGTACTGAACCCTTTTAAAGATCAAAGAACGCAGGACATTTGGCCTAGATATCTCCCAAAACTGCTGTTCTCTTCCGCTTTGTTTTTACCAGCAAATATAAAAATAGTTATTCTTCATGGTATTACTCTTCTCAGAAAACCACACTCCTCTGGTAAATAAAGCTGAATATGTCTTTATTATAATAAAGAAAGGAAGAAAGACAGAGTTAGCAGCTTGCCTCTTTCATTTATGTTCCTGAGGACAGCAACAGGCTTTTATTCTTGAAGATGAGTTTTCATACAAAAACATACATTTATGATTGGTCAGAATCAGTTAGTTACCATTGAAGGTACAGTCTAAGCAAGGTCCAAAATCATGCAGTTAGGTCAGCCTTGGGCAAATATCCATTAGTTAAGACCCCGGTTCACTTGCATGTGGCTAAATCATGCATAACATACATGAGTTACACCTCCACTCAAGAGACCTTGGAGTAACCTAGGCCAGCTGGGAATGCACAAAACAGTAAGACAGTTCTTGAGGGACGTTCACTCCTAACGGACATGTGTTCTTTCAATGGTTTGGGACTACGTCACTTTTAGTGGTGCCTTATTAAGGTGCATCTTTTATTTCTCATTGTCACGCAGTGTTGTCCCATCTTCACAGAAACCCAAGGACCAAGCTTTTTCCCACAAGCATGTGATTCATTCTGGTTTAGTCCTCACAAGCAGAGATCCCTAGTGGCTTGTAGGAAGCTGATGCCAAGTCAATTCTCTGGTTTGCTAAGATTAAATCTGAACAAGCACTAACTGTAGGTTTTAAAGTGGGTTGAACATGGCAATTTTGTTCTTCTGTTTTACTTATTAAAAAATGACCATGCTCATGTATAACATTTCAAAATAACCACTTTGCAGACACATTTGAGAGACAGCCACATTGGAGTCGATAGCATCAGTTTAAAAGAGGAATGGAAGGCAAGATTCTGAAAACATAATTTCTAACGTAGATTCATTATTAAAGATCGATTTTGTTATTTCTTTTATCTTTATTCAATAAGCACGTTTGTTCAATTGATTACTAAAAGTAGTAAACATGAACAAATCTGAAAAAGCACATACTGCTGTTGGTGCCATGGTACTGAATAGCAGGAAGCCTGTTCTCAGTGAAAGCAGAGATAAAACCGGCAGAGGATTTTGTTCTAAATTATATTTTAGTAAGGAAATTAGTATTGTAATATTTTTATGTTTGAAATCTGCATAATGGGGGTGTGTATTACAATTTATTAATCTCATTGGAATTTACTTCAAAGATAGCCGATATCTTATATTGATTTGAGACAATGTTATGAAAGCTGCAATGAAAATCACATTTCCTATGAGAAACTGGGAATACTGGAGCTTTTATCATTGGAATAATAGTTAACAGCATTCAGAGACCAACACTTTAAAGCAGTGTCAAATAAAATGTGCAGTCTTTACCTAAACATATCTGACAATTATTTCTCACGAGCAGTTGTTACTGCTTGATCTGATATTGACTTGCTGGAAAGTGAAAGGTTGTATTTTGACGTGAGACGTAAATCCTCTTAAAAAGCCTTTAAATCCCAAAGCAAAAGTGCTTGTCTGCTTCAGATCTTCATTTAGAAAGCAAAAATATTTTCTTGACCGTCTTTAAACTGCCTGTGGAGAAATAAATGTTTATTTCAGTACCTCCACAGCTGCTGAGATATAAACATAATTTTATATGACAACTAATCTAGGTATAAGTAGTTCAAATAGGTATACCCGAAGAAGGCTCTACAGCCAAAATGTTGCATTTTCTTTCTTCTCTTTTCAGTATGGAATGAACCTATAACTTGTTCCTAATCCTGGTATAGTATGGATGGGTTTTATTTTCTTTCCTTAGAAAATGTGGCATTGATTGTGACACCTTTTTGCACACTCAATCTCTTGCAAAGATCAACATATGACACTTAAATTATACAGTATATAGTTAAACCTCAGGTTAACATTAAAAATGCTGCAACTTACAGATACTTATTACCAGGGAAATTGATTTTTTTTTAATTTCCTGCAGAAGATACTCAACAAAAATACTAACAAAGCCCAACATACTGAAGTTTCTTAAGTTGGACAATTTACTAACTGGGTTTATTTCAGTCATTTAAAAAAGGATTTTAATAGATGAAGTGAAAAAAAATATCAAAAATGTTAAAAAACGCAGCTCCTTTTATGTGGCCACAGAAAGTGAAAAAAATACTTTGTGTCTTGGTGTGTTTACTAATTGTGTTTCATTTGTTTATATGGTTATAGTATTTGAATTGTAGTTTCTCAAGAATAAACAAGAAGTCTGAAAGGAAATGGGAGGAGTGGGGTGATTAGATAGGTGGACATTCCATGATGTACATTTGCGACCCCTGCTGGTTCATTTCTCATTAAATCATTATCAAAACTCTAATCAGAAGTAGCCTACTGTACCTTGGTCCTTGGTCCTTGGTTTATTATGGGTCAAATAAACAGGAACAGAAATATGATAAACCTAAGTTTGTGTTATATACTAAGTACATACTATATACATTTACCATTCCTTTATGTTACCATCACAATTATTTGACGACCTGGACAGTATCTCTTCATACAGCTTGTCATTTCTTTGGAGAAATCTAAGAGGAATACCTTTAAGGGGACAGCAGTTGAATTCTACCCAGCATTTGGACCCCTTGACCCTACAGCCTCGTGTTCAGAGTCCTCACCATTGTTCCATGCTGCTACATAAAGTTGAGTTTCCAGTTCATTTACAAGGCAATTAGAAAACATTACATTAATAAGAGCCCAGAAAGTACTGCACTCAGTTGTTAAATAAAAATAGTGGATAAATAGATGTCATTGTGCTTTTGTCACAACCCCATCGATTTGACTGTCAACCTGTCAACTGATCCTGGGGTCTGAGCCATAAAATAAACCACAAGAGTTCCTGTTGATCTAGTGAGCTGCCAGTGAGCCTCC